ACAAATGAAAGTTCAGTCCTCTCTTTTTTTATTTTTAATTCGTACATAGTACCATACATGTGTAATCTATTGTTCAAGATATGTTTGTTAATTGATAAAAATAAAACAACAGAAATAAATAAATAAATAAGCAAAGCATGATGAAATGAAGTTTGTCAGACAATCAATAAAATTATCGTTCAAATTCTAAAATCCAGGTACTGTGTGATATCTAGTTGATTCCGTATATCACGTCTGTTGTTTTGTCTTGTTTGTTTCACATATCTGAAACAAAATATTGAAACAACATTAAATTGTTTTATGATACAACTTAGTTTTACCGTAATAATTTATCTTATTGATCACAAGCATTAAAATGAAATAAAAGAATACAGTTTGGAAATATAAAATCCCTTTTGTCAATATCGTTAAATCAGATTCTGTATAAATGTTCATGAAAAGCGTAAAATGTTAAACTACATACATAAGATACATAAAAACATGATATTCAAAATGGGTAAAAATGCACCTAGCCAATTAAATATGTACGACACCAAAAAGTCAAAACATGATTATTTTTATCAATATGTGAAACGTTATAATATAACATTGTTTAGTTATTTATTTAATTTGCTGAAGTCTCATTTTAAAAAAAAACTAATAACATTTTGTGAAGCGTTATATAAAATGTATTGTTTATAAAGTAGGGATTTTTTAAAAAATTCCGCGGTGAACGTTTTTTTCTAAAGTCATGGTAAGTCGCCACTGATATTTGTTGTAAATTAAAATATTAATACGAAATTTCGAAACAAAATTGTGATAAATAACAGTTATAATTTTTAAAATGGTTTCTCTTTGAAATTTGAAAATAACATTAATACGAGGCTGAAAGATGATATTCTGCTTATCATTAAATTAAATGTACACTATATAAATAAAATGAATAAACATATATTGACATAAAGAGAGTGTAAGAAAGAAGTTATATTTTACACAATTTTATAAGGTGAACCAGTGGTGATTGTCCGGTAGTTTTTAAGCTAAATTATAGGATTTTCCGATAATTTAAATATTTCTACCATATAAAGGAAGGGAAACCTGATGCTGTATTGGTTATAATATCGGTCGGCTGTATATGAAAACATATGTGCACAGGTGCTTGGAAATGAAAAAATGCAACAAAACAAAAACGCTGTTTTTTTTTTCTTTAATTGATCAAATGAAAATTTGTCAATCCAAATTGTTGACTACTTTCATAACTGATACTGTAGTTTGTTAAATTTGTTTGTTTGATTGGGTTTAACGTCACAACGACACAGAATATGTCATATTGCAACGATCCAGCTTTTAGTAGACCTCAGGTGTCTTTCGGCGCGAACGGGCACCTGCGTATAACCACTGACGTTTCGTAAGCTTCCACACATAAATGATCCTAAGGTCCCTGTGAAAATTCGAGCAGACAGCGGTGGGGGGGGGGGGCAAGTGGTTTTGCTTATGTTGTAAAAAATGGTACACACCAGGTATACGGCAAGTATATATATAAATTGATTAATCAAAACTATTTCTATATTTAATTTAATAAAAGACTTATGGAAAGGTCAGTTTATAGATTCCGTTTATGTGATTGTAGGTGGACAGATTTTCACAGATAATGCAGACAAGATTGCTGAAATACACCCATATTGAACACATATATTGTGTACAATTTGAATTTTACGATATAGTGTAGGGGTACACAAGATATTCACAGGCGGGAAACAGTATAACAAAGGTCCAAATTTCAAGTCCCGGTCAGGTTACAAAATTTTCTCACCCAGTAAAATTTGGCGCCCATCTTGACTGAATATAGCTTAAAGTTTATTTACTTGACTCTGTAACTCTATAAAATTCGAAAACAAATTTCAATTAAGCGGAAAGTATATCACGGTTCAAAACTGTTCACTGTTTACTAGGAAAAATGACCATATTATTTTAATCATTAGTCTATTGTAATATGTTACTATTTGATTCGTGAATGATTTAATGATAAAATAATCAGGTCAAATATGTGACATTCTTTATTCTGAAATAAATAACACGCAGTACAAAAAAAAACCGGCAACTGCTAAATAAGCATTTAATCACTTGACCATTGTGCCAATCGTTTTTTTGTTTCAATATGAATTTGGTATTTCACATCAAAAAATTTTTTATTAAAGCGTTTAGAAATTTAACTGAAAGATTTGTACTGTTTTTAAATAAGGATTTAACCATCTTAATATGCAAGTTGATACATTTAAACAATGTGAAATTAAATATTTTCCATTAACTAAATAAAGTCTGCGAGATTTCAAGGAAGCAGGATAAAGTCTGAAATATGTACAAAGTGCATATGAAAATCTATGTACAATATAATACGTTAACATCCCAATCCCGTTAATATTGATTGCATTTAATTGATAAAGTAACAGAGAACATCATGTTGAAAATACATTTTGTTTTGTCCTCGACAAAATATAATAATTCGTTATTGATTATTTTTTACTCCCATATTTAAAAAAATGTATTCATGCAATAAAAAAGCTTGAAAATTATCTTATAAGTAACTAGCGGTTTGAAAATTTTCTTAAATACAACGGACTGCATTATTTGACGGAACTGGGATTTTACTTATCCTCAAACATAAATTCCTTTTCAAATGAGATGTCACATTAGGTTAGGTTAGACCAATGTGCATATATTGGCAAATGAAAAATAGTCTATTTTTAGATAATACGTTCATTTGATTTTTGAATCTTTAAACATTTTCATGAATGCCTCTATCGTTTGAAACTCACAAGTAAGATTTCATATCTTTCTGGTAAAGATTTTACAAAAGTTAGTGTTAGTTGTTTACAATTATGTGCAGTAAAAGAAGATTAAATACACAATATCTTGATAAAAAGCATTTGGTCTATTTATTGTAAGATGACAATGATTCTGTAAGTTCATTTGTAAGTTCCTTTATGCAAACACCTGCACCATACTCAAAACTGAAATATATATGGAGTCATGCTGCTTTCTTGATGCCACTTGGCTTATTTTGATGCCATACGTCCCTTTCAACCTTGATCACTATTGGGCTCTTTAATTTCCTCACCCCGTTTGTTGCATTACTTTAATCGCTTTAGTCGGTTTCACCTTACATAATGTTTTATTGTCCAACAACTGTTATAATTGTATATTTTGTTACGTGGACATCACCTGATAAGAATCAGCTGTAACACGTCTATTTACTTAAATTAAGTCAATTTAATTAATACATAACTTGTCTAAGTTCGATACTCTAGGTAGCTTTAAGCTTATAGACACGCTTACATATCCGTTCCATAACTAGCCAGTACACAGGAATGAGTGTAAAGTCAGTTGCTCAATGACACAACTTTTTCCTCCTGACGGGGTTTGAACCAACGTTGTCAGCAATCCTAAAATTGCTTGTAAGACATATTTACCGCTCTTCAACGCAAGGACAAGTTTTTTGGTTTATTTATTTCTGTTTTGTAAGTTTGAAACAATTTTTTTCTTACTGGTTCAAATATACTTAAATCATATTTTTCTTCCCTTTCACGTCAATTTGTATTGAAATCGTTTGCAAACTAAATTCTTCAATGGCTGTTGTCCAGCATAATGCCAGACGTATTTCCAATCAGATCTCTTAATCATTTTACTTCCTTTAAGGAGTATTACATGACTAGATGTAATGATATGAACATGTTAAAAATTAAAAAAAAATCTTTTATCTTTAAAACGTTCTATAAGGAAACAAGGAAGATTTTACCAAGGGATGACGAGAGTATTCAAAACAGAACAACAATGCAGCACATTTGAAATGACAATGTTTAAAATGTTTTTTAAAACCAAAAAAAATTCATTAAAGGAGTCTATTTTGTAATATAGTTGGGATGAAAATAAAATATACATTCAGTAGCTTCTTTTTTAAAATTCAAATCATTTTCTGCCTTTTATCTAAACATTTTTCATTTTATAGTTTCGAATTATTATTGGTGGCTGTCTTGTTTTTCACATTTTTAAGTTTGATATGATTATGATTTTTCAAAATATTAAACTTTGTTAGAAAATTGACAAATGTTAAAGTAAAAGTAGGACAATGTTATAAAATATGTTTTTAAATCGTATTTTAGTAGAAAATGTGGTCCAATATGTGTTTCAATAGTATATGTTGTTATGTGGATATCTTAGAAAACATATGTTTCAGTGAACACTCTCTAAATAGATTTAGTTTAAACGTTACAAAATGTGCTTTAAAGATAGCTAGTGTGGTTAAAAAAATTTAAATTTCCCTGCAATATAAAATCATATAAAAGCAAACAAACAAACAATTCAGAAATTTCATAAAGTTATTATTTGTAAGAAACTTGCTTTAAATTACACTTAGGAGGTCGTAGCAAATAATTACAATGTGTAAACGTACACCTTTACAGAAAAGGCCAAGCCTTTAAGTGGTTGCGCGTCCCCTAAAATATTGAGTTATCTTACCTGAATGATTTTGACATTTCATTTTTATTATTTTAATTGGTTAAAGTTTCGATTCTTATATACATGTATTGCCTATTAAGATATTCCCCTTGTTTGTCACCAATCAACATGGTATGAAAGAAATGTACCACATGCTGTCACGAACTAGAACCTAGCTAGAAACCGGAAACAAACATGCATATTGTTGCTTAGTTTTGCTTCATTTTATCTATAGATGAAAGTCTAAAGAATTAATCAATACTGTCAAGATATGGTTAATATTTGCATTTGGCAAAACCTTTTTCTAAGTCTTGCAATGAATGGAATGCATTTTATTCTTTTAATCGCATTTTTTACCTTATAACGTACATGCTTTTGAAACTTTGAATTATTTTTCAACCAACAATAATGGATAAAATATATAATAATATAATAATTTTTTGAGTGTAAAAGAATACGACCACCACATTTATTTGCCTTGCCTAAATATGGTTTGAAGTGTAAATTTGTCATACAGGTATCAAAGTGTCATTCATTTTGAAGGATTGGTACATGCAGCCTGCATGTTATAAACATTATTAATTCTTTATTTAAAAAAAATCAACAACATCAACACCATCATATAAGGTTATGTTGGCTTTCAAAAATGATGTCTGGAAAATTTATCTATTCATGTAAGTTTTTATATATATACATGTATGTACGTATATAATTGTTTCAAATTAATATCTTATAAAATATTAATTCTGAATAACTGAAAACAAACGAAATAAATAATAAATAATAATAATGATTAAATGACGTTGATAGAAAATATGACTATGTTTTAAATTACTGAGTTTGTAGTATTTGTTAGAAAAAGTTGCATTGCCATATATCAAATATTTATTACATAAAACATAAAAGATAATAATCATTCTCATAGCAACCCTATATTAAACGTTTCTGAATACTTGCAGGTTTCGTTCTTTTTCTTCTTCAGTCAGTTCAAATCACAGGTTAGTATTTGTACTTGATAAAGTTTACAGAATTAAATGGAATTAAATGGAATGAATCCTGAACAATTCATTCCAACAATAAGTATCTTATCATTAGGCTTGATTGTAGCACCATTTGAGTTTGTAATTATGCTTCATGTATCATTCAAGAATTATGTTTTTATAAACCAAATGAAAATGTAAAATCTTTTAAATAGGTAAAGAAAATTTATGGCGAATACATAAAATAATTTAAATGAGGCTAAGGAACTTACATTAATATGATTTAAAATGTGTCAGAATATTTATTTACTTTTCTGAAGACGTTGTTAATATGTGATGTTCAAATATAAAATATAATCTCAAACGTTGTGAATTATTTGATAGAAAAAATATAATATAATTTTTCAAAAGAAAAATTTAATTTCAGCTTCATTGGTGTGCAATAAATGTAACAGCAGTGAAAGTATAGAAAAGTGTCAGGATATTATTCAATGTGGGGACAAACAAGTATGTTTATATACATTATTTATGTAAAAGAAATTATAACGAATAGATAACTCTTTAATAGCTTTAATAATTGACATTACGCCAGAGAAGTGATTGCTCCGCCCACTGATTCACGTGACCCGGTCATTCAGAACCTTAGACAAAACACGGTACCGACGTTTACAGGAAACTATTATGCCACTAAAGTTACTAATGAATTTTCCTTATATAATTTGGTATATATAAATGTTTAATGCTTTTCTTGAAAAGTTCAATGTATAATGGTGTTTAAAAAATAACTTCATTCATGCATTAATTATGAATAAAACGTTTGGCAAAGATCTTGTTATATTTGTCGTTGACTTCAAGGAAGATGTTACTGACAAAATATCAGTTTAAATTACAAATTCAAAGATAGTTAAATTTAAGTAGCGAAACATATATATATAGTAAATTTATATCAATAGCACAGTAACATTTACAAATGTTTGAGGGTTTTATGTGCGAAATCATTTATATATAATGCATTTGTGCATAAATTGTTAAAATTCAATGAGAAAATTGCCCTTGCGTAACTTTGTAGTATGATATATAATTATATGTAAATTTGTACATAAAATATGTTTCGTGATAAAACGCAATATTATTTACTTCAAAATAAGTTTCGCATACACCAGATGGTGAAACTTCGGTTTTAAACTAAAACCGTGATCAGGTATGATGTTATTGAGCTTTAATAGAAATATTTAGGTAGGATAATTTCACATAAAATATCCATAGCATATTCTCTCACTTTATTTTTCTACTGCATCATTTTATTGACACTATGTTAAGAACGAACAAAAAGTGTCATATCAGACCTTATATTACCTTATGTGATTATAAATAGACATAATTGAAATCAAGGAAAGAATAGAGTATTCGTTTAATTTTTTCCTTGTTTAATGCATTGTGGCATAGCCTGGCTTCATAACCTCTGATCGCCATTAAAAATTTCATTTTATTTAGTTCCGCCCATTGTTTTCTCTTTTAGGGCAAACGCATTTTTTTTTACTTGGGGACCTTATGCCGCTGTCCATGGAATGCCACATTGCAGGCTCCATGATAGCCACCATATGAACACATCTGCGGGTGTTTCAAAATTCCAAATTTTACCAGGTCACGTTAAATGTTGAATACAGCTTAAGCCGGTGCTAGATGGCGCGGACGGTTACTTGGACATTCCATTACCGTCCATGAACAGACTCAATCAAACCGAGCCTGCAATATTTTCAATTTTGTCGTCTTGTACGTACTTTGGGGATTCTTTATTTCTCTATATTTTAACTTTCGTCAGAGATGTAGACAACATCTAGATGAGATCTATGTCTCTGCTTTTGTACCTACAATATAACTTATTATATTCATATATACAAAGTTACTGATATTTTTTGTAAAATGAACTGACTCCATATGTCAATATGTCAGGATAGTTTTTGTCAGGATAGTTGGTAACTTTGATATATCGATTTAATAGCTTTAAATTGACAAAAAATCAAAATAATTCAATATAAATACTGCTGCACCATTGTCTTATACAAATAGATTGTCTAAGGAAAATGGCGGATTTTGCAGACATCTAAGCGTGAAACTGATAACAATCGCCGACTGGCTTATCTGTTAGACCCCTGCCAGCTTGATTGACAGGCGGCGTAATGTCAATTAACTAATCTTATTTGTAATTGCGGAATAAATTGTATAGAGAAATGAAACAGTTGAAATTGAAGTCATTTGTAGTTTTGATGTTTTATCTAAAATAATTAAATTATAAATTAGTAAATATATACCAATTTGATATTTGAGATGTTTAAATAAGTAATATTTGTAATATAAAGTGTGCATTTATCAAAGTTGTTTGTTGTGATTATATGGACGTTTAAAAGAATGCTTTGTTAATAATTATACAATTTTCAGTCATGTTTTACCGAAATCCAAACTAAGAATGAAGAGACTACATACACAATGGGATGCACTAATAATCAGGTTGTCATTGATAATACTATGTTTTATATATAATATTTCTAAGGGGGCAGTTTCTTAATGGTAAAGATCTAACATATATAATTTTCAAAAAATATTTAAGCAATATTTTCAGGAATAAATTGAAAATCGTACTTTTTATATAATTCTTAGTCTTATTAGAGTGACAAGTGCTTCAACGATTTTCAATTTTGTCACCAAATGATCTGAAATTTTGTACGCAAGATAATGGTCTAGAACTAAATGCAACATTTATCTCAAAAAATATTTCCAGTCCCGTTATGTCAAAAGACCTCTGTGGCATCACTTTAACCTATAAATCATTGGCCTGGGCCCTTCTCGGATCACGACACTATTTCTTCATATGACTCCAATACTGGTTATATGTAGGAAGCGGACTCGAAAGTGATTAATATAAGTTGCAAACTCTTGTTTCGCAGTTGAGCTTAAAATAAATATATGTAAAAACTAATTATGGTTTCGTCAAAGCGGAATGACTATAATTACCATTACATTTTGTTACAAACAATTTTCCTCAACGTTTGCATATTTACAAAATGCTTTGTTTTAATGCTCTACATATATATATGTTTCTAATACATTCTTGTAATTTTTATCGTTTATATCTGTTTATTGTATTAAATAAATACATTTATACATCATTCTATAATAATTACGAAAAATGAATAGCTTTGAATTTTGAAAATAGATGTGAATATTACAATCGGAATGATGATTTATTATTCATGTTTATACACATTAAGTGCTTATGCTCTAGACAATAGAGAATATATTGTAGAATTGCGGAGAAATTCCAGAATATGATTATGATGCTGTCAGCAAGCTAAGCGCTTTTTCTGTGAAGAAATGCTATGAATGCTGTAGAAGTAAAGAATGCAATTATAACCTTTGTAAACATCCAAAGCGTACGTAATATTTTATATACAAAGTGATTGACATAAAGTCAGGAATATATCGAATGTAATAGATAAAAACATGTATCGCTTTAAAATTATCCAACTAACTATTCAAGCAATTATGTTGTTACAATTTTAAATCCAAATGGCACTACCATCATGATTTTCTGGCGTATTAACATAACAGAAGCTGCAAGTTGGCCTATAATTCAAAATATATATGTTTGTTTCTGTTTAACTTCTAAGAAAGAACATAATAATACATAAAAGTTTAAGTCGGCTTAAAGTGGTAAATTATTATACATTTCGATCGAATAAAGTCATGAAAGAAATTTCACTAGAACTTTAATAATTGGGACTTTTTGAGACTTTAAAGGTTAACATATACAATACAATATATTTATACAGTTTCAAGCAATATTTGTTTCTAGCATCACAGTGTCAAGATGATAAGACAATTGATTGTGCAAAACTGAATGAAATGTTTGATATCTGTAAAGACATACATGATGCCAAACGTGTGTGTCCCAACTTCTGTAACTTGTGCGGATTAGGTAACAGTTGCGTTTGTTGAAATATTTTGTTGATTTATAACTCAAAATTTGTACATAAATATAAAATCACTTGATTGTCCTTAAATTAATAAAAATGTTGACATGTTACATATTTTTTTTTCTGTTGACATTTTAACTTAATCAATGATGAAGATGTAAATTATTTCACCACAGTTGATGGTAGCTGGGCGGACTGGTCTCAATGGTCAGCGTGTGACGTTACATGTGGAAATGGTAAGCACACTAGACTGAGAACATGCACAGATCCAGCGCCGGCTTACAAGGGCTATGAATGTGAAGGAAAAGCAATAGATTCGAAACCTTGTCAACAAACGCTATGTCCAGGTACTTAAAAATTTACATTTCATACAAGAACGTACCATCTATTTTAATGTCCTAGTCTTTAATTTCATTTATCATATTATCATTAAAATCAAATTATGGCCTTGTACTCGTTATCCTTGAATTCGTGCTTGATTTTAGCATACATGGACATTGCGTTTATGTATTATTTTGAAGTACATGGTGAATGGTCAAATTGGTCTAACTGGAGTGCTTGCCCGGTAACATGTGGGTTAGGAATGCAGAAACGTCACAGAAATTGTTCAAACCCATATCCCATGCTTTATGGTGACCATTGTTTTGGAGACTCTGTGGAATACAAAAATTGCGTTGAAAAGATGTGTAATGGTAAGTTTATTACTATTTATTTATTTATTTTGTTGTTTGTAATTGATTTTTAAATTTACTGAACAAAATTTCAGTTTATACACATTATTCAGAAAACGTAATTTTACATTCATTAATAACAGGGTATATAAGGCTTTTTTGACATCAGTTTAATAGGTAGGTGATTGTCTTGGACAATATAATATTCATTATTGATCAAATTTCTTTCTTTCCGTATAGGTATAAATTTGTATTTTATAAATTATACCGGATATCTGAAACAAAATGGTAACGATAAATAAAATATTTTTGTATAAGATTTACTCATGTGTATAATTAGTGAAATGCATTGTATAATGAAAATATAGGAACAAAAGTGATAAAAATTAATATAAGCTTTAATACAATATCAAGATGGCATATGGGGAGATTGGGAGGAATGGGGATCATGTAGTGCCTATTGCGACTATGGCATACGCCAAAGGTCAAGGTCTTGTGCGAATCGTGTTGGATCAATATGTGAGGGAAACTCGTTCGAAGTTCAGCCCTGCAATTTACAGAAGTGTCGTAATCGTAAGTATTACGAATGTTCATAGAAATACATTTTACACCCCCTCCAAATAAACAGAATAAATAATAAAAAAGATAAAATGCATATAGGCATCAATTCAAAAAGGCACAAGAAACCCCAGAAGTGAGTGACATAAAAATTGAAAGGCAAAAACATCTTTAGCGTATGATAGTTTGTGTTTCATTTAAAAACGTTATACATTATTTAGATTTATGTATAAATATAAAATATTGACATATCAAAGTTAGGATAACTATGAGCCAAACATCGCTAAATATGTAAGAGGGAAGAAAAGTTAGTAAAATCTAAAGGTAAGCTTGTTTAGTAACAACCAGTAGGAGAACTTGCTACCCTTAGCGTTACGTGGTAATCTTTTTGGGATTCTGGAAAAGTATAAGTAAAGTAATAAAACTGATGGAGCAACATCTTCTCATATTTCTTTTGCTTTGCTTGTGTTCTGATGATGTCACATCTTACATCTTGTTTTCATCTTATTACACATAAGTTTTTATAAAACAGTTAACATATTTTTTAATTGGTAGTAACAACTTGCACGAAGAAGCCGACCTACAACGATAGCTTCACAAACGTGGCTCTGGGCAAAAAAGTCACTCTATCGTCAACGTACTCTTCTACGTACAATGGCCCAAAAATGGTAACCTCAGAATTAATATTGTTACAATATATCCCATAAACAATAATACAATATCTAACATCAAATTACAATATTTTTATGTCCGAGTATTATATAGTATTCGTTATTAAATATTTTGACCAGTTCATTAAACGGTTGTATGCTTATATCACCGGAGGTGTTTCAGGCGATGGTAGTATTGCAAATTATCTTTTATATCGGTCTTAAAACCGGTCTAAAATCTTTATCACTACTTAAAAATACAGCTAACTTCCATTATTTGAGAAAAATAATATAAGTTTACAAATATACAGCAGTCGAGTATATAATTTAATTAAAAACCACGATCATCCAAGAATAAGCAACGTGACAAAGGTCAAGTTTCTTACAATTTCATATTGCGAATTTCTTGCTTTACTACATGTACTAGTGAGGTACTCAGTTGTCCTCTGTTTAGAAATACTGGACGTGCTAAATTAGAATAATCATGTAATTTTTAGAATTATTTTTCATATTAATGTTAGGTATAAAATACATTATAGTATTAAATAAAAGAGTTTGCCCGAGTTTTGTTTCAAACATATGAGTACTCGTATTTGTATCAACTTGTTTTCGAGATTATTTTCGGTTTCTGTTAACACAATATCTCATTCACCCTTTTGGCGACGAATAATACAAAAACGGCTGTAACATATTTAATACTTCCCTGTTTTTAGGTAGATGGTAACTATGAGAGAGATAACGTCGCAATAACGCAATTTCAAAACAATCCATACGCAATCGTTGACCTTGAACACGTATACACGATATACTCTATCTATATATTCAACCGCAAAGACTGGGGTATGTAAAGTTTTGATTATTTGGGATTTGTAACGTTGTTGTAAATTACAGTTTATAATTAAGCTATGACTTTTTGTTTTATGAGACTATTGAAAACAAATTATAACCTAAATAAAAAATGAAACTGTAATTTTGTGTTCAGCTGATAGACTGAAAAATGTCGTAGTCCAACTCGGTGAGACGCTTCCCTCGTTAACAACAGTTGCTACACATAAGGCGGTCATAGGTGTAGACTGTACATACCGTTTTGAGATTCCTGTTAAAGGTCGTTATTTAAAGATAATGTTAGAAACAAGCAGAGAGTACTTGCAGATCACAGAACTTGAAGTGTACAGTAAGGCAGAAACAGGTAATTAACCTTTAAATTATAATGACAAATCAACGTCATGATTACTATGAACAAAACATCTTCAAAGACGTGACAGAAACCACACTTCAGTTGAGTTGAATTAAATCGCTGCATCATCATTGCTTCAACGAATATGTTTTTACAACATTTTTAATTTGATGATAAAAACTGCCAACCGTTTCCTCTGAATGCAATGTCATAAGAATTAAACGTAGAGTTATAGAATATATGACCGGTTTCCATAGAAAGACTGTGATTTCCAACCCTCCACATACTGATTTGTTAATTATGTTTTCTTACTTACCTGGGCACATAGGAAACAATATATACAAAATCAGTTATACGGTTTTAAATGTGCACTGAAATTTTTAACCGGTTTAGAAGCGGAACAACGTGAACGTTTCACAGTAGACAAAAAACACTTTAACCATTTGCACAGATTTATGTACTGACCCAATTATTAATTGTGGCCAATCATTCGATTTTAATAAATTCAGGTGAGGTTCATCATAAAGAAACATCGTTATCGTTACAAAAGCATGAATGTTTACCATGAAAAGTATCAATACGTTAACGCTGTCGACGAATAAAAGGTTTTTTTTATTTTCAAAAAATATTTTAAAATTTTCCATTCACAGAGAGTTCCACTGATCCAGTAAATCTGACCTTGATGCAGTAAAAATAAATCAAAATAAAAAAGCAATGTTATCATTACACACAAACAGATGCTAACCATGCACCATATCAATATTAACTTTAACAAGTATTTCTGTCAGATCTAAACTTTTAGAATAAGCCAGTAGGAGAACATGTATGGTCCTAGCTGTACGCGGTATGCTATTTGAGACCCCAAAGAGTAAAAGTTATAACATATATGTTTTGACTCCGTGGAAACGCTAATATTCACTTTCATTGCATTGGCCCTAACAAAATCTTAACATATGCAGTGTGAGATGACCCCATTTGAGACAAGAATGATTTTAAATTACCGCTTAAAAGCACTGACGGATTTGATAATTCTACCCGGATAACGGGAAATCACAATATAATAGTTGCAATATATGAAGCAACATTTACTTGTTTTTTATTTCCATTTTGCTTATGTCCTGATGATGTACCATGAACTTTGTTTCATATTATAAAACATCATAAGATTTGATAAAAAGTTCACATCTTTATTTTTTTATATTTTTTACTTATTAGTAACAACATGCACGAAGAAGCCGACCTATAACGATAGCTTCACAAACGTGGCTCTGGGCAAACAAGTCACACTATCGTCAACGTATTCTTCAACGTACAATGGCCCAAAAATGGTAACTTCAGAATTAAAATTATTACATTGTAACCAAACAAATCACAATCGATTATATCATGAAAAATCATTTTATGTCCGAGTGTTAGATCAATCTGACTAAAATCAGCTCCTAAATAACGCTACGCGTTAGGATCTGACGATAAGCAATATGTTTTCACCTTCTCTTGATTATTCAAACAGCCAAACATCGGCGAGCTTTCACAATTTTGAAAGCGATGTGGTTTCTAATTTGACTGCTAGAAAACCATTACTGAGAAGGTAATTTCCACGATTTCGAGAACACACATGGCGTTGTTCGTAAAGCCAGTGGGTAAACTGGCATTATAATCTTGCCCATTAAATTTTTAGCATATTTTTTCCAGTTAACTTGTAGGGTTTTTTTCTAATAAAAATCAACAATTCGTTTTACTTCCACGGACAGCTAAATTTGGTATTTCGTCAAATGCTTATCTGAAAAAACCGGTTAGATTACCTGGCTAAAATAGCTTTTTGCAAAAATCTGAATCATAATAGAGGTGCTTATAAGATTAGCATGACTATGAAATAGGCAGATCTAACTTAAGCCAAATTGAGTATTAAATACTATTGAATTTAGTTATTTTTTTTGACAGTTTATGTGACACAATCTTAACAGTTGTTTGTTAATACATATAAGTTGGTAGGCAAGGGTTACATTGCCACGAATCCGTTTTTGTCATATAACCGGTAAATACATATTTGGTAGTCTTGGTGTTTTATTAACCAAAATAATGAATGCAAAAAAAAACATATGTTATTATTCTATATTTTAGGTAGATGGTAATTTTGAGAGAGATAACGTTGCAATCACGCTATATCGTAAAAACCCATATGCAATAGTTGATCTAGAACACGTATATACGATATTTTCTATTTATATATTCAACCGCAAAGACTGGGGTAGGTTACCTTTTGATTCTTTTAAATTTTAAATGGGTGTTGTAAATTATAGTTTCAAATTCAGTTATTGGTCATTTTATGTTTAATTATTCAAACAACTCTTACAATCCGATAATGATTACGTGATATTTTGTTTGTGTGACCTGGCCTATATGTATATAAAAGTATGACACTTAGATTTTAAAACATAATTGTTCGGCGTGTTTAAGTTTGACACATTAATAACTTATTAAATCCTTAACGATGGACTTATTATTACAAGATTATTATTATTCAGTAAGCTTTTTAAAAATGCACTTTCATGTTGTTATCCTATGCATGTATAATACAAAATACGATTTTTTTTCAGCGTATAGATTAAAGGACGTCATAGTCCAACTCGGTGAATCGCTTTCCTCGTTTACAACCGTTGCTACACATAAGACGGTCATAGGTGTAGACTGTACATTCCGTTTTGAGATTCCTGTTAAAGGTCGTTATTTGAAGATAATGTTAGAAACAAGCGGAGAGTACTTGCAGATCACAGAACTTGAAGTGTACAGTAACACAGAAACAGGTAATTAACCTTCCAATTATAATTCTAATTCTAATGAGCCAAGAGTAAAACGATATTTGACCGGGTCCGATAGAGGGACTGCTATCACTTCGCTTCCTTAACCATGTAAACTATCTAAATAGTAATACTAACGAAGCGACGAATAAATCAGTCCATATTGTCAAAGTAGCTAGAGACAAAAATCTTTTAAAATCTCCCATTCACATAGATGTCTACTGATCCAGTTAAGTTGACTAAATATTCAATACAAATAAATTCAAATGGGATGGTTTTTAATTACAAGAAGCAAAACTTTTATTAGAAACAAACAAATAAATGGTTAACAATGTACGTTATCAATTTAAGCGTTTATGAGGAATTCTGTCAAATCTAAAGTTTTTACCCTAAGTTGTACGCGGTATGTTTATTGTGCTCCCAAATCGTAAAAGTTATTATAGATAAGATTTGACTTTGTGGTTACCCTTAGACTTACTTTCATTACATTGGCCCCAACAAAACTTTTAACACATGCGGTATGAGATAAACTGTATGAGGAAAGATTTTCCAGCACCGCTTTTTGTAATACCAATGACGGTTTGGATAATTCTACCCGGTTAGCGGGAAAACAAAATCATAGCAAAAATATATTAGGCAACAACTACTTGTATTTTTCTGATACTGTACCATCTAAGATCTTGTTTCCATTCTATTACACATAATGAGATATATAAAAAGTTAACATTATTTTATTTTGTTATTTAGTAGTAACGACATGCACGAAGAAGCCGACATACAACAACAGCTTTACAAACGTTGCTCTGGGCAAAAAAGTTACATTATCGTCAACGTACTCTTCTACGTACAATGGCCCGAAAATGGTAATCTCAGAATTATCATTATAACATTTTAACGAGATAATCAGAATATATTTTTTATCAATAAACATTTATTTAAAGTCCGAGTATTAGTTAGTATTAGCAATTAATATTTTGACAAGTTATATTGCCGAAACAATCGGTTGTTCGCTAATACATATGTATAATCGGAGCCGCTAGTCCGGGTCATATTGCTAAAATCATTTTTGCGGTGATGTAACCGGCCAATATTCTTTATGACGACACAATAATTTGTTCGAGAAGAAAATGAAATTACTTCATTAGCCGATTATAAGTTTGATTTTTATAAAACGTTACGATTAACCAACAAGTAAGAGCGACGTATCAAAAATCAAGATTTATGATATCATATAGTATATTAGGTTGTATTTTCCGTTCAAATTAATATTTCGTATTTCTACCTTGAACCTCGGGTGATATATATTATGTCATGAACGACTTGTCACATGTCCAGAAAAACTGAACATGCAGAATGAAAATAATCAAGTAAAATTTAAATTTAATAATGATAACCATGTACAGTCTATGAAATATAAAATTCATATTAATGTGTAAAATAGTTTCCTATGATACATACGAGTATCTGTAGCAAATTGTCTCCGGGATCATTACAAGTTTGGTAGTTTTGGTATTTTATTAATCATTACAGCAACAAAAAACCCAAAATGTTTACAAAATTTCCTTTTACAAAAACTGTGTAATATTTCTGTATTTTAGGTAGATGGTAATTTTGAGAGAGATAACGTCGCAATAACGCTACATCGTAAAAACCCATACGCAATTGTTGATCTAGAACGCGTATATACAATATCCTCTATCTATATATTCAATCGCAAAGACTGGGGTAGGTTAACCCTTGAATATTTTATAACGTTGTTGTAAATTGTAGTTGAAAAAAGAATAATGGTACATCTTATGATTTAGAATATTAATGAGGATACTGCATTTGATACATTTCAAAATTGCTATGGATGTTTTGTTCGTGCATATATAGAAATGAGAGAATTGATACAGACATACCATATAATCTATATTATATATTATGCTTATATTTCAAAATATATTGTTGACATGTTAAAGCTTGACACATTAATAACTCATCAAAGTCCTTAAAGATGAACATATTATTTAAAAAAAATCATAAACGTTTTCAATATGCACTTTCATGTTGTTATCTTATACATGTATGACAACAAAATGAAACTGAATTTTTTTCAGCGTATAGACTAAAGAACGTCATAGTCCAACTCGGTGAGACGCTTTCATCGTTAACAACAGTTGCTACACATAAGACGGTCATAGGTGTAGACTGTACATTCCGTTTTGACAACCCAGTCAAGGGTCGTTACTTGAAGATAATGTTAGAAACAAGCGGCGAGTACTTGCAGATCACAGAACTTGAAGTGTACAGTAACACAGAAAAAGGTTATTAATATCCAAATTTTAATAACAATTCATATGCGCGAAGAGTAAAATAATATATGACCGGGTTCGTTAGAGGGACTGCTATCACTCCACTTCCTTAACCATGCAAACTATCTAAACAATAATACTAACGACGCGACGAATAAATTAGTCCATATTATCATAGTAGCTGTTGAAAAAATCTTTTCTTTAAATCTCCCATGCACATAGATTTCTACTTATCCAGTTAATTTGACGATATATATTCAGTGAAAATAAATTCAAATGTGATAGTTTTTTCAAGAAGCAAAGCTATCATTACAAACAAACAAATACATGTTAACCATGCACGTTATCAATATAAGCGTGTATGAGGAATTCTGTCAAATCTAAAGTTTTACCCTTAGTTGTACGCGGTATGCTAATTGTGCTCCCGAATCGTAAAAGTTATTATAGATATAATTTGACTTTGTGGAACCCTTAGACTTACCTTTCATTACATTGGCCCTAACAAAACATTTAACACATGCAGTGTGAGATAAACCCATATGAGGTATGATTTTCCAGCACCGCTTTTTGTAATACCAATGACGGTTTGGATAAAAATTCTACCCGGTTAGCGGGAAAACAAAATCATAGCAAAAATATATAAGGCAACAACTACTTGTATTTTTCTGATACTGTACCATCTAAGATTTTGATTCCATGCTATTACACATAATGAGATATATAAAATGTTAACATTACTTTGTTTTGTTATTTAGGAGTAACGACATGCACAAAGAAGCCGACATACAACAACAGCTTTACAAACGTTGCTCTGGGCAAAAAAGTTACATTATCGTCAACGTACTCTTCTACGTACAATGGCCCAAAAATGGTAATCTCAGAATTAAAATTATTACATTATAATCAAAATAATAACAATATTTTCTATGATGAACAATTATTTTATGTCCGAGTATAAAATAGTATTAGCTATTAATATTTTGACAAGTTATATTGCCGAAACCAATCGGTTGTTCGCTAATACATTTGTATAATCGAAGCCGTTAATCCTTTTGCGGTGATGTATCCGGCAAAGATTCTTTAAAACGACACAATTATTTGTTAGACAAGAAGATGAAATTACTTCATTAATTGTAATCAGCCGATTATAAAGTTTATTTTTTATAAAACTTCACGATTAACTAACAAGTAAAAGCGACGTAATAAAACTCAAGATTTATGATATCATACATTAGGTTGAATTTTCAGTCTCATTGACACGTTCAAATTAATATTTCGTATTTCTACCTTAAACCTCGGGTGATACATTATTTCATGAACGACGTATCACATGTCCAGAAAAACTGAAAATGCAGAATGAAAACAATCAAGTAAAATTTAAATTTAATAGTTATAACCATGTACAGTTTATGATATACATATTAATGTGTAAAATAGTTTACTATGATACATACGAGGGTCTGTAGCGATCATTACAAATTTGGTAGTTTTGGTGTTTTATTAATCCTTACAGCAACAAAAAAACAAAATGTTTACAAAATTTGCTTTTACAAAATCTGTGTAATATTTCTGTATTTTAGGTAGACGGAAATTTTGAGAGAGATAACGTCGCAATAACGCTACATCGTAAAAACCCATACGCAATTGTTGATCTAGAACACGTATATACAATATCCTCTATCTATATATTCAACCGCAAAGACTGGGGTAGGTTGACCCTGAATATTTTATAACTATAACGTTGCTGTAAATTGTAGTTGAAAATAAAGTTATGGGTCATTTTATGTTTTATAATATTAATGAGAATACTGCATTTAATAAATTTCAATATTGCTATGGATGTTTTGTTTGTGCATATATAGAAATGAGAGAATTGATACAGACATACCATACAATCTAGTTTATATATAATGCTTATACATGTATTTCAAAACCTAGTTTTGACATGCTAAAGCTTGACACATTAAAAACTCATCAAATTCCTTAAGATGAACATATTATTTAAAGAAAAATCATAAACGTTTTCAATATGCACTTTCATGTTGTTATCTTATACATGTATGACAACAATGTGAAACTATTTTTTTTTCAGCGTATAGACTAAAGAACGTCATAGTACAACTCGGTGAGACGCTTTCATCGTTGACAACAGTTGCTACACATAAGACGGTCATAGGTGTAGACTGTACATTCCGGTTTGACAACCCAGTCAAGGGCCGTTACTTGAAGGTTAAGTTGGAAACAAGCGGCGAGTACTTGCAGATCACAGAACTTGAAGTGTACAGTGATACAAAATACTGAGTGGCGTTAGATTCACATTTGTAAATCCTCGTGATATAATGAGAGTTTAATATGAAAATTTTCACAATGTTTTGAAAAATGTATGTCATATTACACAGAACAAATATTTTTATTTCTCAACTTAATTTGTCTAAATATTTCATTTTTTTAAGCTTATTTACCAAGAAGGCAGTATTTGTTTATTCATTCGAAATGTCAAACATTTTTTAATTAATGTTAAAATAATGGATAAAGAACATGTATGATGTTAAACAACCGAAAACAATAGCCCTGGATCTGTAAATGTAACATTATGTAAACACAGTATCATTTTGACTGCCGTACGAAATACTTATTTACTATACTTGTACCAATTGTAAAGTGAGCAACAACAGCAAAACAAGTAACAAGATAACACAAAATGAAAGTTCTGTAAGAAATAAAATGATGGGCTTCAAATTAGATATATATTTACATATGCTTTTGTTTGATTCACCATTATCTATGAAAACTTGACTTCACAGAATGTACAAGTTGTGCAGATGTTTGCCAACATGTTAAAAGAAGTGAATATCTTTATTTTATTACTAGTTTCTCCCCGGCCAATAGTAAACAATTATTGCTTATGGATTGGCTAATGTGAAAATCGCCGAGGCCGAATGTTTGTGTTCCTGTAAAAATAAGAAAAAATATATTTTCAATTTGGTCATATAATTAAATATATATGACAAGAAGATGTCGGCGAATATTCATGTCTTTGGACATTGCTAATGTTATTTCACTTCTGCTTTCGTCCTCCGTGAATATTATCACATAAGCACTTGCAATAATCATATTACTGTGTTATTACTGTGTTTTCCTTGCAATCAAGTACTATTCTGTTCGATTTTGAATTAGCATTTTATTTCTACAGTTTCTGTTGTATATTAGAGTCTAAAGATTTTCACGTGAGGGAACAGTTTTTTTTAATGATACATACATCAAAACATACGAATGTACGTATGAACAATTGTAAATACATGTAAAGAAAACTGTTACGTTTTTGAAGAAAATTAATAAATGAATAATAAATAGCACAAGAAATACAAATATTCTAAATATAAACTAAAAGAAAATAATTCAGAAAAACTAAATTTATCTCATGTCATTATTGCCTTACAGTATCTTTTTTATTAACTTGTACAAATGTTAAAGAATCTTGTTTGTTTTCTTTGAGCTGTCATTTCTTACCTTAACAGGCACGTGTGTTACCATTGCTTTTATTTCATTGTAATATTTCATTACCTATAATTCTGTTTTTTTTTTAATTTGAAAAACTTTTAATAATGTACAGTGTAGAAATTATAATTCTAATTTCTTAAGTTATATAATATTTTGGTTTATTGTTAAAATGATTAAAAATCTACATATGAATTGCATAGAATGAATATTACTTTCCAGATTATATAGGATCTGTTAGCAGTTGCTTTTTAATATAACTTGCAGGAAATATTAATATTCATTTTCCAGGAAAGGTTCTGTATTTTTTTTTCAAATGACAACTAACGTCAGGTTCTTTTTTTCACATGACAAAATTTAAACAAAGCAATTCCTTTACAACTTATATTACACGTGTGTAATATTAAGAAATACGTAATGTCTATATAATATGAACTTAGAAAACAAGGGAAGTCACGTGGCAAAATATTTTTACGTCTCTTTTCATATTAACAGTGTTCGATTTGTATATAATATTAATATCGGAGACAATTTCAGCATAAAGAAGAAATTTTGTATAAAGAAATGTACTCGCAAGACATTATTGTAAGTATATTATAAAGTACAATACTAAATGCTAGGACTATTCAGCTGTCAAACCTATGTCGAACAAGACGTCAGCAGAGTCTGGTATAGCTTTTTTCGGCTGTGCAAGAGTCCAGAAGAATCAGTATTGTTTTCAACAATGTATAATGATTTTTTTTTCACAACACGACTTTTTGACATTTTGACAGAAGTTTGTTGCTTCAAGTACAGTGAGGATTTGATAATAATTGTTGGACTATGAATAGAAATAAAAACGTTGATGGTTAAATAATAAATATTAATGATTCATAAGATGTGACGGATTATTAATCATAATGATATGTACAAGTAATTGTAAATGTATTTGAAATATAAAACAAATTGTATGCATAAATTGTCATAACAGACATGTTTACATGATAATATTGTTTAGTTAAATGTTCGGAATATGTATCTTGAAATGCCTCTAAAGCTTAAATAAAGGATTGGTTTGTTGTTTCTTTATTCTGTTCTCTGTCATAAGCATTAGAATGATGTCATATATAATTATAATTTCAAAAGGTAGATTGTGATGTTAGATACAGTGGAAGTCAGTAAAAGGGCATGCGCTTTGTCCGCTTTGGCATGTCTCGTTAACGTTTAAAAGTGGTTGCTTGGATGCACAATCAAATTTATTTTCTTGGCCATATCTGTCAAATTGCGGCTGTCATGGCCCTGCCGGGTAAATACAATGATTTTTATTTTTGGGTGCCAAAATCGATGAGGGTTGTCTAAAAACAGTTGGGGTGAAACCAAGTGAAATACCCTGATGGCCGGTACCTTTAATTCAAGAGTCAAAATCAAGCAATTTATCTGGAGTGTTAGGTTATAACTCACTGGTTAATGACAATAACATATCATTTAATTTAGCTAATGTTTTGATAATCTTTATTTATACACACTTGTTTTAATTTAGAAATAACTCTAGACGAAACAGATATTTACGTTGGTTTATTAGAAATGTAAATATATTGTTTTAGACAAAATGCTTTATGATTTGTGTTAATTAGTCCTACTGAGAAAAAGCTTATCTGGGTAATACTATTTATACAATTAAGATATAAAAATAGTTAAGGCGACTGATTTGTCAGAGTTTTTTTAGAATATCTACCTGAATACATGAACAACTTTCTAACAAGTTCTTTAACAAAGCTAATGGAAACAAAAGTTTATGATTTTTTCATTGAAAAGTTTTATTTCAATAAAAGTATAGTTAGTTAGAATCCTTTTAAATTATAAGAGACAAAAAGAAAAAGATCAATTTGATTTTTTCCACTTAAATTTGAAACAATTAAAGCAATTTTTTACAGTCAATATTTAAGAGCCACATTAGTTGATGTTAAGTCAACATTACAAAACATATTTTGAAATGAAATAAGAGAAAAAAAACACACGGTGATTTAGATATAGAAAAATTGACTTTTTAATCAAATCAATTGTTCCTTTTACTGTACACTTCCAATTCTGCGATATGTAAATACTCTTTTGCTTCCATCATTAATTTCACGAAACGACCTCTGATTGGCTTCACTAGTTCAAACATGCACTTTGTACCCATTCTTCCCCTTTGACGAACAACAGTTGTTAAACTGGAAAGCTCAGCCCCTATCTGAATGACGACGTCACGTAGCCTGTCCACTGTAAGACATCAAGAAACAAATATATTATTATTCCAATCACATAACAGCAAGTTATGAATAGGTGAGTTGTTTTAAATAATCATATATTTGAAAAAGTTAAAAGTAAATCCACTTATCTTTTGTCACAAAAGGGGTTATTTGCTGTCACTTGGTAATTTGCTGCTATAGTCACATTCATACATGCAAATAATGACTAGATTTCTTAAGGGTTCAACCAATTTAAACAGTGAAAAGGCTAAAGCATATTTCCTTTTGAGCATGTTTTTATTCAAAACGTATTGAATAGCGTTATAAAGCAAATCTTGAACATTTTGAATAAAATATTGTTAAAATTATCTAAAAACATCATACCACAGCAGTCTTTACGGTTTACCACATAGAAAGAAACAATATCATACTCCTGTCCTAAATCAATAATGGCGAATGGATTAAGATCGAGTAACGTATGAACGTAAGTATCATAATTGCGGTCAGTCTGGAACATAAAATCAATGCACATTATAACATCAGCAGTACTGTGTGAATTGGGACGCTTTCCTGTAACACTGTCAGAATTGTTAGGTACATTAACAGAAATTTACAGTCCCGAATCTCTCTTTTATATACAAAAGTGTTTAAAAGAATATTTAAATATTAAAATATTGAAAGAAAATAACGTTTTCGTATATGTTATATGCAACAAATTTAAGTATTTTTAAATTCAAATTACACACTATTTAAATGAAAGTCTTACCATACTCGTACTCTTACTGTAAGACTTGGCTGTAGAAAGTGTGGCGTGCTTTCCGAGTGCAACATTTGAAAAGCTCGTGATGTAGGACGTCTTCTTCGCACACGTGGAAACTTTGAAAAACAAATTAAACAAAATTTATAAAAATTATAAAAAATATGATCCTAGAAATGTGTCCATATGACACTAATGCCACAAGTATTTAGAATTTTATCATAACCAATACATGTCACAAAACTATGATTTGAAAACGTATGTTATTGACCTAATGAATTCATTGTGACTGGCGGTGTTGCTGAGTGATTAGCATTTCGGGTTAATTATATAAGAATTGCTAGCCATATGGGTTAAACCCGTTTAATTATTAAATGTTTAAATGGTTTAAAAGATAATAAAAGATGTTACACACTATGAAATGATTATGTTTTTCATAACTCACTGCGTATGTACAATTAACGTATTCATTATTGTAATTACATAGTATCAGCAGTAACACAAAATTTCTTTTCTTTTATAATAAGTATGTTTAAATTATTCATTTTCTAAATAATATAAGCATTAATCTGCGTTAATGTTCAGTCGACTTAATTATTCAAAACATAAGAGATCAATAGATGCACAAGTTTTGTAATTCATTATCTTCTATATATTTACTTAAATATTTATTAATCGTATAGTGGATAATATATTCCCAATATCTCTAATAATATTATGTAAAATCCATTGCATTGTTATTTTTATTAACTTATTTATTAAGTTATTTTTAATTCGTAAAAGTGTTGTTGACGCAAAAAAAATCTTTATTCAATTAAATACATGTAGTATAAAATTAAGGTGTTTATATGAAAGTTAATTACATCAATTCTTAACATAATTCATCAAACAAATATTCAAGAACAATTTCTTACCCGGTGATATACATGTTACAATTTTTGACCATGTCCCATCACGTAAACATGTTGAGATTGGGTTTCCATATGCGCTAAAGCTACTCAAACACTCAAACTTTGCGATTGAGTTGAATGTGATTCCACTTGCAAAAACAAGCCGTCCATTCGATGGTGTGACTGGTTTTCCACACGAAACAACTGTATCACAATTTGAGTTATCGTTCCATCCGGATTTCTTGTCACAGATTGAATAATTCTGACCTGATACCTGATATCCATCGTTGCATATAATGTTATATGTTATATTTGAGGATGATTCCGACTGCAGCTTTAAAACACCGTTTCGTAGAGTTGGTAAAGTTCTACAAGCTTGAATTTAGATGTGTTACTTTCATTACATTGACATCCCGAAACACAATCATTTATTTCCAACAGGTAGAATATAGATTATTTAAAAAATCTAATTAAAAGTATTATCTACTTATATTTGAAAATACAGCAGTATGTCCTTTCCTTATTGAAGACATTTACATTATACTTATATTTCAGTTTGACAAAATGATGACAAGGATTTTAAATTTCTGAAACAATGACTGTTTAAAAGAGACAAGTTGATAATCACCTTCACTAGTTGATTTATTTTACGAATTGAAACTGAAGATAATGTAATTAATTAAACATCATCAATTAACACTAGATCTAGATAAAATAATAAATGGACAAGACTGCAGTGTTAACCTTCGATTTGTGTTGCTACGAGAGGCGGCACAATATTAGAGATCATCAAAGTGGAAGACTAAAATAATTATTAAAGGTTATGAAATGATAGGTGGTTAGATAAAATTATAAAAGTTATCATATAAAGTATTACAATAAAACTTACGACACTCATGTATATTGCACAGCTGGACATCTAACGAATTCCCGCTACATATCGTTCCAACCAGATTTGCACAAGATCTTGACCTTTTACGTATTCCACTATCACAGGAGGCACTACATGCTCCCCATTCCTCCCAACTTCCCCATACACCTCCTTAATATTGTATGAAGAATGTACATACAAATATATTAACCTGATCAATTTTCATAAAAGGCATCATTTTCGCTCGCATATTTGACAATAAGTTGTATTTCAATTTTCTTATTCATTTACATAAAATGCTTATACATGTATTTATATAGATAAGTATTTTGGTTTTCTTATCATTTTATTCCTTTATATACAACATTACATTATAGTCATGCGGAAGTAAAAAAAATTTAATGGTATTAACAGTAATCAGATGTATTATGAATCAAACTATCTATGAAATGCCTGTTTGCTACATATTTTTTTTCATTTCTGTTCAGTAGTACAAAGCATACCATCACATAGCTTTTCAAAACAATTTTTGAATTCCAATGGATCACCAAAACAATGGTCACCATAGCGCAAAGGATATGGGTTTGAACAATTTCTGTGCCGTTTTTGCATTCCTATTCCACATGTTACCGGACAAGCAGTCCAATTAGACCAACTTGACCATCCGCCATGGACTGCAAAATATAATATATATATATAAGTTTCCGGGAAATGCAGATATTATATACATTTGTATAAGACAATGTAAGAAGCAAGTATTGCGCACACAAAGCTTTATTTCGATCCAGGAAAAAACCCCACGATAATACCATTTTTTTTAATAATCTAACAGATAACAGAACTATGGCAAGTTTAAAACGGAAAAGTTAAAGTACCTGGACAAAGTGGTCGTTGACAAACTTTTGAATCGATCTTTTCTCCTTCACATTCTAAGCCCTGGTATTTCGGCGCTGGATTTGTGCATGATCTCATTCTAGTATGTTTTCCATTCCCACATGTCACGTCACATGCTGACCACTGCGACCAATCTGCCCAGTTACCATCAACTGTTAAAGGATAGTATAATTATCACCAATATAAGTAGACAATTTGGCATATATACATTGATGCGTAGCAAGTGTCAAAAAATTTGATATTTTTATTATTGGCTTTTAAGTTGATGCTATTGTCTATAAAATTTAGTTAATAAAACAAATGAATTGTTTATGTTTAAAAACTCTTAGAAACTCTCTTTAAAATTTAACAATAACAAAAGGTGATACCTAGACGGCACAATGTACATAATTTTGGACAAACTAACTTGGCATCATCTATGTCTTCACATGTGTCAAACATTTCATTCAGTTTTGCACAATCCATTCTCTTGTCATCTTGACTCGTTGATGCTAAAAGGAAAATATCAAAACAAAATATATCTGTATAACATGGTCTTCAAAGACTATTATCTCCTCTTGTAGTTTCATTTCGTTTAGATCTGCCGACTGCTGTTTTGAACGTTTTCAATCATAATTTGTTTTGTAAAAATTACTTTTTTTAAGTATATAAATGTTGAATCCACTGCAAGGCTAGCACAATTACATAAATAGAAGATATTGAATGAGTGTAAGTTCAATACTGAATTTATTGCACGAGTTGAATAAAATTATATTATGCGAGCCTCTGGCGAGCATAATATTATTTTATTCAACGAGTGCAATAAATTCAGTAATGAACTTACACGAATTTAATATTCTATTTATCACATACCCAAAATAAAGACCATTTAAATTGAAATAAGAGTCATTTTTCATTGACGCGCCTATAGGATAACGCTACCATTTAGCGCGTCTTTACACTATGTTTGTATAACGCTAATGACGTCACGTCAAAATATATGCACGGCCGTGCAATACCATATTTACGGAGTCGCAAAATCGGCACGGGTGTGTGATAAATAAAGAAGAAAGAGTGAGAAAAAGTTTACTTATAATTTCATTATACTATGTTTTAATTGTTTAGTCACCATCTTACATATTTTTGATTTATCGATTGCTATTTTCAAAATAGAAATCATGGCTTTGTTGATTTTTAAACGTGTTGTTTTATTATACCAAAGACATATAACTTTCAGATAAGTTAACTGAAGACAATGGTAAAGTCGTTAAGATTATAATCTGTAACAATGTAGCGGTTTAATCAATTTTAATCCTTTTTTTTCTATATATTCCTGACTTTGTTGAAGTACATCTTCATTCTGAAAACTTGATTCTGAAAACTTAATGAAAAAAACTACTAACGTTCTGTATGATTACAAAGGTGATAGTTGCATCCTTTACTTTCGCAGCATTCATAACATTTCTTGATAGAAGGTGAATTAAGCTTAGAAACTGAAACATATTCTGGAATTTCTCCGCAATTCTACAATAAAATATTGCAATTCAAAAACCAAGACATTTACAATGTAATCAATTTAAGTATTTAAGTACGAAAACAAGATTTTTAAGACTTTTAAGTTATAAAGATGTTAATTAAATTGATTCAATAAGCTTTAATCAATTGATTAACTGGTCGACTGATTTTTAGTATTTATTACTATATTTCTACTACGTTACTAACAAAGTTAGAGCTATTTTAGACTATTTTGACCTGTTGTTTTGTTGGTAGTTTACGCGGATAGCAAGTGTCGTATTATGTGAAAATTGCTCCCCTTTGGTTACCTCACAATATTATACTTTTAAATACATTTTTAAATTTTAAATGAAAATCGGCATGAATCTAGACGCGTATTTCTTTAATAAATAACTTAGTTTTATATATTCAAAAGATTATAAATAACTGTTACCTGATTATCGGTACAGCCCATTGTGTATATAATATGTTCATCCTTGGTTTGAATTTCGGTAAAGCATGACTGAAAATTGTATAATTACTTATAAAGCATCAATTGAAACGTCCACAAAAGTGCGACAAAAACTGAAATGAATCCATAGTTCATGAAAATGTATAACTCTTTCAAAGACAAACCATAACTGAATGATAAATAAAAAAAAAGTCATAACAAATAAAATATACAATGAATCTACATAACAAGCCCATTTTCATGCGAATTGAACTTAAGATTTTTTTTTCTAAAAGTAAACTCCTCATGTGTATTGAAGTGACAATTCTATTCATCTATTTCATATTATTTAATAAACAAGTATTCAAGAGTAGCTGCAGAATAACATACTTGTCCCTCTTCACATTGAATAACGTCTTTACATTTGTCTAAGCTGTCACTGCTGTTACATTTATTGCACACCAATGTTGCTGAAGTCGGTTTACAAATAAGAATAATTATAATTCTATGAAAATAATTCATACCGTCTCTGTTATATTTAAACATCACATAAGACGGAATATTATAAATATAAAGAGACACAATCAGTTTAAATTTAGATCGATAGAGAAATAAAAGAAAAACCAATGGGCAAAATATAATTTCAAAAAGTATTTTAAATGTAAAATTACGACTCTAAAAACGTAATAATTATACATTTATTGACCAGAGAGCTTTTGATTATTAGATTATTTTCATTGCTATTACTTATCTGACTAGCCTTAAACACAAAGTGTACATTCATATCAGAAGATCCCGCGTAGCAAATTTCATTTTAAAATAGGACAACAGAGAGTTTAGGAGAACCAATTATTTGGAAAAGGTTAGAAAGAGAAGCAAGGAATGAGCCGATTCTAATTTCCGTTAATCGCTGCAGGGTAAATGTAATGTTTTTTGTTTTTTTTGTTGTTATTTTTTTTGGCGCCAAAATCTTTTTTTTTTTTAATTCTGAAGGTTTTTCGTCCTGTATGTTCCTGATTTTGTGGAAAACATCTTCATTCTGAAATTATACTATTAAAAACTACTTACGTTTTGGATTATTACAAAGGTGATAGTTGCATCCTTCGCTTTCGCAGCATTCATAACATTTCTTGATAGGAAGTGAATTAAGCATAGAAACTGAAACATTTTCTGGAATATCTCCGCAATTCTACAATAAAATATTGCAATTTTAAACACCAGGACATAAACAATGTAATCAATTTAAGTATTAAAGTACGAAAACAAGACTTTTAACGCTTTTAAGTTATATAAATGTATCTTTAATTGATTCAATAAACTTTAATCAACAATGAAAATTAATATTTCTATGGAAAACAGTTTCGACCATTGCTTGGTTTTATGTAAATGTTGCGAACCTAAGTAATTGAGTGTCTTTGCAATTGATAAGGTCTTAGTAGTAAAGACATTTTGTCACCAAATAAATTCCCATTTAAATCTACATACCTCCAGATGAACCAAAACTATTTTAAGAAAAAATCTAATTTGAGTTAATGTACTTACATTTTAGGAAAAGCAAAATGATTCAAATAATAATTTACATGTAATAAGTGATTATTGACTGATTCTTTTAGTATTAATTACTATATTTCTACTACGTTACTATCGCAGTAAGAGCTATTTTTGCATATTGTCACCTGTTGTTTTTGTTGGTAGTTTACGTGGGTTGCAAATAAAATCGGCATGAATCTGGGGGCGTGCTGCTTTAAGAAATAAATTAGTTTTATAGATTCAAAAGATCATTATGAACAACTGTTACCTGATTATCGGTACAGCCCATTGTGTATGTGATCTGTTCATCCTTGGTTTGTATTTCGGTAAAGCATGACTGCAATTTGTATAATTATTAGTAAAGCATCATTTTAAACGTTCACAAAAGTGCGACAAAAACTCGAATGAATGCTATAATAATGAAAATATATAACTCTTTCAAAGATAATCTATATAAGTATATGATAAAATAAAAAAAGTTAAAATAGATGAAATAAATATAAAAGCTACATAAACAAACCCATTTTCATGCGACTTGAACATCAGATTTTTTTTTCTAAAAGTAAACTCCTCATATACATGTATATATTGAATGTAAAAAATCTATTGATAATCAAATCACTTCTGGGTTTTGCTTCATAATATTATTTCTTATAATTTAATAAACAAGTATTCAAGAGAAGCTGCAGAAACACTTACTTGCTCGTCTCCACATTGAATAACGTCTTGACATTTGTCTAAGCTGTCACTGCTGTTACATTTATTGCACACCAATGTAGCTGAAGTCGGTTTACAAATGAAAATAATTTTAATTATATGAAAATAATTCATACCGTCTCTGTTATATATTTAAACATAAAATTGAATATTGTAAAAATAAAGAGACGCGATCAGTTTATATTTACAGTAAACTCCGCTTGTAACAAAATCATCGGGACATTCAAAATCTGTTCCTTATATCCGGAGTTCCTTTCAAGCATATATCGAATAAGTTCCTTGTATCAGAAATTTTTATAGCGAACAGATTTACATATAACAAACTGTTTGTTTACCAGCGTCCGCCATTTAAAAAAGCATTTGATTAGGAATATTAGTCATTTATTTCTATTTTAGACACAATACCCGAGATCGTACTTTTTGGAATTTGAAAATCCTTTGCTATTTCAGTTTTAGTTTTACTCCCTATCTCAATTTCTCATAAAATATAATAAATGTGTTTCTTATATTTTACGGGTGACTTTTACTAATAAAATATATAAAAGATTTTTTTTTCATTTAAATCAAGCGTATTTTGCAGTTTGCAAAGGATCATGCTTGCAAGCATCCGTGATTATGTTGAAAACCGATTATAAATTATTAAAATTATTTTACATGAGCAAAGCTATTGAAGAAATAATCTTAATAGAATCAAAGGAATAACCAATTTATCTTGGTAAAAAGAGCTCATGTTAAAAATATCCTAAATAGAAAACTATAAAAATTCATTTAAAAGGATGTATTGAAGTCCAGTATACGACAAGATCATCAAGTATAGTAAGTGTTAATATGTATGCATTTACAAACTTAATCAGCTCGAGTTTGAAAATATAGATTACATTCGTTTAACAAAAGTAAATGCGTCATGATTAATTTGAAATACTGCAATCCTTTTGGGCAAAATATAATTTCTAAAAATAACTTAAAAAATTTAAATTTCGCTTCTAAAAACGTAAAAATTATACATTTATTGACCAGAGAGCTATTGACTATTAGGTTATTTTCATTGCTATTACTTATCTGATAAGCCTTAAACACAAAGTGTGCATTCATATAAGAAGATCCCATGTAGCAAATTTCATTTTAAAGTAAGACAACAGAGTTAAGCAGAACCAATTATTTGGAAAAGGTTAAGAAGAGAAGCAGGGAATGAGCCGATTTCCAAATGTCCATTAATCCCTGCAGGGTAAATGCACTGTAACAGTTTTTTTTTTTTTTTTTTTTTTTTTTTGCGCCAAAATATTGTTTAAAAGTATGAATGTTTTTTTTCCTGTATGTTCCTGATTTTGTGGAAATACATCTTCATTCTGAAAACATACTAATAAAAAAAACTTCTTACGTTTTGGATTATTACAAAGGTGATAGTTGCATCCTTTGCTTTCGCAGCATTCATAACATTTCTTGATAGGAAGTGAATTAAGCATAGAAACTGAAACATTTTCTGGAATCTCTCCGCAATTCTACAATAAAGAATAAAGAATTGCAATTCAAAACACCAGGACATAAACAATGTAATCAATTTAAGTATTAAAGTACGAAAACAAGACTTTTAACGCTTTTAAGTTATATAGATGTAAATTAAATTGATTCGATGAACTTTAATCAATTTTACAATGAAAATTAGTATTTCTATGGAAAACAGTTTCGACCATTGCTTGGTTTTATGTAAATGTTGCGAACCTAAGTAATTGAGTGTCTTTGCAATTGATAAGGTCTTAGTAGTAAAGACATTTTGTCACCAAATAAATTCCCATTTAAATCTACATACCTCCAGATGAACTAAAACTATTTTAAGAAAAAATCTAATTTGAGTAAATGTACTTACATTTTAGGAAAAGTAAAATGATTCAAATAATAATTTACATGTAATAAGTGATTATTGACTGATTTATTTAGTATTAATTACTATATTTCTACTACGTTACTATCGCAGTAAGAGCTATTTTTGCATATTGTCACCTGTTGTTTTTGTTGGTAGTTTACGTGGGTTGCAAATAAAATCGGCATGAATCTGGGGGCGTGCTGCTTTAACAAATAAATTAGTTTTATAGATTCAAAAGATCATTATGAAAAACTGTTACCTGATTATCGGTACAGCCCATTGTGTATGTGATCTGTTCATCCTTGGTTTGTATTTCGGTAAAGCATGACTGCAATTTGTAAAATTATATTAATAAAGCATCATTTTAAACGTCCAATAAAGTGACCGCTAAATTAATGAAAATATATAACTCTTTCAAAGATAATCTATATAAGTATATGATTAAAAAATTAAAAAAGATAAAATTAAACAATAAAGCTGCAGAACAAACCAATTTTCATGCGACTTGAACAACATCAGATTTTTTTTTCTAAAAGTAAACTCCTCATATACATGTATATATTGAATGTAAAAAATCTATTGATAATCAAATCACTTCTGGGTTTTGCTTCACAATATTATTTCTTATAATTTAATAAACAAGTATTCAAGAGAAGCTGCAGAAACACATACTTGCTCGTTTCCACATTGAATAACGTCTTGACATTTGTCTAAGCTTTCACTGCTGTTACATTTATTGCACACCAATGTAGCTGAAGTCGGTTTACAAATAACAATAATTTTAATTCAATAAAAGAATATTAACGTCTCTGTTTCACATAAGGCGGAATTCTGTACAAATAAAGAGACAGCTTTTGTTTATATTAAGAACGGAAGAGGAATAAAAGGAAAGAAAATCAAAGTAATTCGAATAAATAATTTAAGTGTTTTCATAATTATATCGATTATTTTATTTTCCTGTGACGTTTTATACTTTATTCTATTGGTTATACCAATTAAAGGAAGACATATACGAGAAATATAGCTTGAATAAAATAAAAAGACCAACCCAGAGAGCTAACCCGAGGGTTCTTTTTGTAGCATACCGTGTATCTTGCTATGAACCTATATAGAGAATTTATTAATTACACTAAAAACTCTGAAAACCGCACCCTCCTAAAACCGGAATCCTCTGAAAACAGGACGATTGCTAATTGCAGTATAGTTTTAATAAGTATGCATGTACAAGATATAATTAGCCAGAGTTTGAAATAATAGATAAACATCTAAAATATAATAATTATACAATTATTGACCAGAGAGCTATGGAATATTAGGTTATCTACATTGCTATTACTTATCTGACTAGCCTAAAACACAAGTGTACATTTTTAGGGAGTAAGTAACAAATAAAACAAAAAAAAGCAACTTTGAAGCACGGGGAAAAGACGCGGGAAACAAAATGTTGACATACGTTCAAAAGGTATTCAAGTATATAGTCATTATTTTAGTGTAATGTTTAACTACTTTTTTTTTTGAAATAATGAACATTGAAACGCGAGATAAACGTTTAAAAACAACGCAAAATAATTGTTAATAGTCTACGATGTGTATTATTCGTGCGCTTGCTGTTCCTCACGGTATATATGGCATAGTAAACAAACCGTGTAATTGGAGACATTAATGTGCATAATCATACATTGCAGTATGATCTCAATTAACTTATATGTCTTTTACTATTCAATCGATCATATTTGGCCCCTTTTTAAATGACCTTGGTTACATTTGACTATTTTAACTATTTTGACACGTTTTAATTAAGAAATAGCAAGCGATCAAGACTCACAAATTATTTCATAAATACACTTCATATTTCTGTACCTTTCTTTAAGCATTTTCAATCATTAATACTGAGGAAAGTTATTAGAGATTTCCAATATCTTCAAGAGTTTATTTCAGAATACAAATGGATACTGGAAAGATGATATCTGTAACAACTATGACAATAAGGCTGTCATGAATCTAAGCGATGAAAACAGGGGCCATGGGAAATACCCGATTCATAATGTAATGAAATAAATTTTCTGCTATATAATCGAAGCTTGATTATCACGTTTACTGTTCGAATGGATTGTTTCAAACACAATGTAGGTCTATGCCATGTATTGCGATGATGTAGTTATTTTGGTGTATTGCCAAGGACTGTCTAGCCTGATCCAACCTGCTTGCGGATTTGGCTATGATCAATTCTACCTCTTGGTATTCGTTAATTTTATTAATTTAAAGTCAGGAAAGGTACAAACCTTTGCTTCCAGCTGCTTGAAACAAGAATAGAAGGAAACCTGCAAATTGTAGGAAATGTTTTTGAGAAAAGTGTTTTTTTCTTGCCTTAATGAAACGAACTTTAAAGATCCTGGAACGAACTTTAAAGATCATGTATGTTGTAATTGAGGATGTATACCACAAGTAAGTATAATTATATATATATATGTATATAATTATGCTTCTAAAACAATTTTCAAACATCGAAGAATATGTTAAATATGTACTGCAAATATTTGTACATATTATATGTAATCATTAACATATATGCATTCATTTCTTTTTACAAACTATAATATAAAATATTTTATTACCTCCTTATATTTGCATGAAATTTTAAATTCGGTAATATCTTTATAAATAATGCTTTTGGAACTTACAAAATTGATAAATCTTAATTTGAGCAACATATTTATGATATTAAACCATAAAAAAGTTGTTACAGGATCTTTAAAGTATGTACTACAATGAAAATTTATTAACAGTCAACACCAACTTCTATCAATGACTTTTACCGGAGACACAATTTTTTTTAAATGTTTGTGAGCTATTAGATCTAGCACTTTTAATTTTAAACTTTTTATATGCAGAGATACAAGTATATATACTTACATGTATAAATATATTTCCCAGACATCATTCTTTAAAACTATTTAACATATTACAAATTATGTTTTTGTACAGAAGTTATTCTTCTTAATAAATGTGATGCTGCATGATACAATTCCGAAAGCGTTATGACACTTTGATACCTGTGTGTCTGATTTAAGTTTTTTTTTTTAATTATGAGGCAAGACAAAAAAGTATGTTGGTGGCTGTCTATTTCACACAAGTTTAATCATATTTTTTTCATACAGAGGGAATATCCGTTTATTATATTATACAATTATTTATGTGTTGTGCCATTGGATAAGATGTGATGTTCACAAGAATATAACATCATATTTAATGGCTCGTTTGTCAACAACTGTTTTATTTAATGAACATTCTAAGAGAATAAAAATCACAAACAATAAAGCCTCATAAAGAAATAAGCAGTTTCAACGACTGTCATTGAAAAGCAGGACAAAGATGCAAATGAAACATGAAGTCTGGCGTTAAATTGGTATGAAAACGCTTTGAAAATACAAACTATCCGGAATGTATGTCATCAATGATGTGTAACCTTTCTATATTTCAATTAATATAATAAATTATAATGCGTCAGTGTTGTTAACAATCTACGATATATGGTCCGATTCTACTTATGGATCGGTAAAATCAAAATCAGCATGTGAATATGATAAAGATTTAGGAATTTAATCTATGTTTGTTTTGACCCATGAAATTGCAGATCTTGCTAAAAATTAATATAATAATATACAATATTATTGATGACGAAATAAGTCAAATTTCCATATTAGCTGTTAGACATGAAGACCATATACATGTATAATGAAAGTCTTACATGTATCTTGCATTACCTAAATAGATGCAGAATTTGTATGTTTAAGTTATATTCTGATTGATCGATTAGTTCTCAGACTTTCATTTGTAGAGAAAGGGACGCCAAACTCAGTGATAGGTAAAAGTTCGCATTATCTACTCAGGTGCCAGTTCGTGCCTGTATATATAGGCATTTTTGTACATTACTTCCACAGTAATAGTTCTTATATCATCATGACAAAACAATAGTAAGTTATGTTTAATTGCAGTTTTTGTTTAATAAACTGACATTTATTTATTAAACATGCATTTTTTTAAAGGGATGTCATCTTTATATGAAATATATAACGCAGCGTCCAAACTTTAATCAGTTAAAATTTTTGAGATAAGATAGATGAATCTGAAAGGTAACAAAAACATATACTCTTAGCCTATTTTTGTAATTTTTGCATTGTAATTGTTTAGTACGACTTCATCTACAATATATTTTAAAGCAAGTTGCTTTCAAAATATAATGTTATGAACTCTCTATAATAAAGTGTATATATATATTTTTTTTTTCCGTATACATACTCGTATAATGCTCTTTAGTTGTATATTTGCAGTGCCCCTTGATCCTATTCTAAAAGTGTATTGCCCATTGGCCTGATATGTGTAATGCTCCTTGTTCGTATACATGCATTACTACTTAGTCGTATACATGATGTGTTCTTTGGTCGGTCGTATGCATGTCGTATTCCGTTGTCGTATACATGTTGCGTTCATTTGGTCGTTTAAATGCCTTGCTACTTTGTTGTTTACTTGTAGAACTCCTTGGTCATATATATGCCTTGCTCCTTGGTCGTTTACTTGTAGTACCCCTTGGCCGTATACATATAGTGATACTTGGTCGTTTTCATTCAGTGCTCTTTGGTTTGACAGTATCTGAATATTTTACCTTTTTAGCAATATGTTATTGCAGTTAAAATAACTCTTTTGGAAGTGTGTAAATTTAAAAACAAAATATGCGCAACAGCATTATGTTGGTTTTGTCATGGCGCGGCTCATATATTTTTCCAGAATATATTGCATGTACACATATACAATGTAATGAAACATTTATAATGAAACATATTTTGATTTTCGTGTATTTCAATTTCAATCACGCCAAAATTTTATGGTATGAGAAAAGTGCTGTAATGACTACAATTTTTTTATCTGCCCTATTTAAAAATGTCATATCGTATGCAAGGTATCTAGGTCACATTTTCTAAACAATCTTGTCATCTGTTTATGGTAAAAACTACCTTGTTTCCATACATTAAAGTTTTTAAGATTAAGATTACAGAAACAATAAAAAATTACAAAGTTTTTCACAGTGTTTATAAGCATCATAATCAGTAGGAAGTTAAAAATTTGTAAGAGTACATTTTGGACGAAAACAAAATGAATTTTGAAAAAAAAACTAAAACAAAGAATTACGTGAAAAGGAAGAAAAAATATGTTTACATAGTTCTCCTTCATCGATATATATTTATTGTTTATGTTTTATTAATATCAGTTTATAATTATTATTTTATAAAATCGATCAATTATTTTTAAAGGTGCCTGTACCTCAAGAATCTTTTATTCTCATATTGAAAAACAAGATGCTCAAAAAAGAATTAATCATATCATCAATATCATTAAGTTATAAAAAAAGTGTATCTGATTAAGATATGTCTAAATTAAAAAATTATTTTTTGACACAATCTTGGACGAATGTTTAATGAAAATATATGATTTTTTTAAACTTATTCATTATATGTATAAAAATGTGTTGTTAAAAAAATGGATGTTTAACAATCGTGTTAGACGGAAACTATCATAATTGTATATAATTTCAGTTAACTGTTTGTAACATATTAAATTTCTCATTTCATTGTTAAATTATAAAACGGAATAAAATTTACTCTTAGTTTATACTCTGCAATCATTATAGATAACTTCGGTATAAACATATACGTTTGAATTGAATACGTTGTTGTTGTTGTTGTTGTTTTTAGTGCATATGAATTAAAAAGGAAATGGGTCAAACGAAAGGAAACACATGCCCTCCCTCCTGCGGACTATACAATGTAGTGAATTAAACTTTTTAAACTATTAATTTGGCTAATGTCATCATTTTTTATTTGATCGTTGAAACCTTGTTCGGCAAGTATAATAAATGACGTATATATGTCATGCGATTATTTGGTTATTATGCCGTTTATAAATGTTACTGAGTAATCAGAACATTATATATTTTAGGTAGTGTCACAATATATGCGTTTCTGGACCGGCTATATGATTTTCTCTACAACCGTAGATCGACTGACACTTTTGAAAGCAGCATCATGGAGAAACCCTTCTCAAACTGAAATTTACATTATTTTGATCAATGATGAAACAGTGTTCTTACAACTTTATTTGAATGCTATTAAGTGATGTGTGCTTCAGGACACGTTCTTACAGGAATTCACGTCATGCACAGTATAAGGCATTGGAAAATGAATGCTAAGTGCTTAAAAATGTAATGATCAAGTACATTGTATTAATTAATAGGAAATTCTACAGAAAAATACAGGGCTCAAAGCTCTCACTCAAGGATAATGCTAGCAAGAGGCCTGCAGCGTAAAATGGTTGCTTTTTGTACTGAAAATTAGTTTTTAAGTATGAGAAAAATTGTAGAAATTACAACATTGTTCTAGAGCGAACAATAAATAGACCATTTCTTATATGCCGTTGCAGATTTTATTAACCAATAGTTTAGTGGGTTTTCTTGGCACAATATCAAGACCAAATCTCTAACTCAAAGCATATTTCTAGGAGATTTCCACGTGACATGGTCGTTTTTTGGACCGGCGAGTTGTTCATTCTGTATATAGAGGGGTAATCATCATTTTTCTCGAGCCAACTGTTAAAACATCATTTGACTTGTTTCGTTGCAAAGTTGATGTTTGTACAAGTTTGGTCGGTCTTCTTTGCATTTTATAAGGACCAAATCCCAAACCAACTCATATTTCCCGGAGTTTGTTGCATGGCATGGCCGTTTTTGGATCGGCGTTTTGTTCTTTCTGTCTATAAAGTGAATAAATGTTTAGAAAAAAATATCATTTTCTGTAGCCAACTGTTAAAACATCATTTAATTAATTTGTTTCAAATTCGATTTAGTTCGGAGGGTCTATTTTAAACATTATGAGGACCAAGTCCTAATTCAAAGCATATTTCCAGGAGATTTACGCATGGCATGGTCGTTTATAGGACTGGCAATTTGTTCTTGGATAAAATTTCGGGGAAAATCATTATTTTCTCGAGCCAACTTTTAGAACACCATTTTGCTAAGACCGTTGTAAAGTCGATTTTCTAAAAGTTTGGAGGGTCTTTTTTGAATATTATAAGGAACAAAGCCCTAACCAAAAACAACATTTCCATGATATGTCCGCATGGCATGGTAGATGTTTTGACTAATTATGTTGCAAATTCGATATAGTACTTTCATTGAACACAACGCGGAATAATGCTATAGCCCAAAGCATATTTCCAAGAAGTTTTCGCGTGACATGGTCGTTTTTAAGGACTAGAGATTTGTCCTTTCTGTATATAAAGTGTATATTTTTTATGGAAAAAAATTCATATTCTCCAGGCAGCTGTTAAAACACCATTTGACTAATTTAGTTGTAAAGTAAATTTTCTACAAGCTTGGGGGGTCTTCTTTGTACATTAATAGGACCGAATCCCTAACTCAAAGCATATATCCGGGACATTTCCACATGTCATGGTCATTTTTTAGGACTGACGAGTTGTTATTTCTGTGTATATAAAGTGTATAGATTTTCGGAGAAAAACATCATTTTCATGAGCGAAGTGTGACTTATTCCGTTGCAACATTAATTTTGTACAAGTTTCGAGGGTCTTGTTTGCACAATATTAGGCCCAAATCCCTAACCTGAGCTATAAGTCCGGCAGATTTCCGCGTGGCATGGAAGTTGCTTGACCGGTTATATGATTTTTTTCTCTATAAGCGTAGATCGACTGAAACTTTTAAAGGTAACATTATGGAAATAAAACGCTTCTAAAATAAAATACACATGTTTTTGATCGATCAAGATACAGTGGTCTTACAACTTTATTGGAGTGAAATTAAGTGGAGTGTGTCAAAAACGCGCTTTAGAGCACATTTTAAAGACAGGAATTTACGACATGCACAGTATAAGCCATTGTAAAATGAACGCTACGTGCAAAAAAAATAAAAGCAATCAATTATTAATTAAAAGGATCTTAAACATAGAAATATCAGCTTTAAAGCTCTCACTCAAGGAAAATGATAGCAAAAGGCCCGCTACGTAAAACGGTCGCTTCTTTTCGGGCTGACAATTAGTTTATTTAATATTTGAAGTCCACAAATATTCAAGAAAAAACAACACTTTTCTCAAGGGAACCATTAAAAACCATTTATCTCATTCCGTTGCAGATTCGTTTTTCCAATAAATAAGAGGGTCTTCTTTGCACGGTATGAGGACCAAAGCCCTCACCTAATGCAAACTATTTGGGATAATTCTGCGTTAGGAGCGTTGAATTGTTATTTCTGTATATAAAGTGTATAAAGTTTCTAAATTAATCATGTTCTCAAAACAACTGTTAAAATACCTTTGATAACGACTTTGTACAAGATTTGAGAGTCTTCTTTGTACATTTTGGAGAAAAGTTCCAGAACCCAAAGGATTTGTCCAGGAGGTCTTTTGTTTTGACCGGCGAATTGTTTTTCTGTATATAAAGTGTATAAATTTTCGGGGAAAAAAACCCATCAAATTATCGCGTGTATTGTTAAAACTCCATTTGACTTATGTCGATTTTGTACAAATTTGCAGGTTCTTCATAGCACAATATGAGGACGAAAGCCCTTACCCGAGCAATATGTCCGCCATATTCCGCGTGGCATGGTCGTGTTTTGGACTTTCGATTTTTTCCCTGAAGCACCATTTGCCGAATTCCATTGCAAATTTAATTTTGTAAAAAGTTCGGAGGGACTTCTTTGAACAAAATCTATTACCAAAAGCATATTTCCAGGAGATGTCCGCGTGACACGGTTGTTTTTGGACCGGCGATTTTTTTTATTTGTGTATATAAAGTGTATAAATGTTCGGAAAAAACATCATTTTCCCGGGCCTCTTGTTAAAAGACTTTTAAATAATTCCGTTGCAAGGTCGATTTTTTTTACAAGTTTGAAAGTTCTTCTTTACGCAATATTAAGACCAAATGCCTAACCTGAAGCATATTTCCACATGGCATTGTCGTTTTATGCATCGTTGATTGTTAAATTAGCCATTGTCAAATGAACGCAACGTACATGTTTACAGGGTCTTATTTGCACAATATGTGGGCCAAAGCCCTAACCCAAGCAATATGATGACTTGTGTAACGGGTTTGGGACGGGTGTTGATGTTCAGATGACCTGTCAAAATAATCGAAAGCGAATCCGCAACGGAATCAGACAAAGTTTCAATGCACTTTTAATCTTTGCCTAAAAAATATGGTGATATTTTTACGAAAATTTATACAGAGAAAGACCAAGTCGCTGTCCAAAAGGACCTACCATGCCACGCGGAAACCTCCCGGAGATTTAGCTTAGGTAAGTGCTTTGGGTTTATCTTGCTGTAACGAAAATCCTCCAGTCAAATGTTTGACTTACATTTATACACTTTAGTTGTACAACGGAGTCAGACAAAATGCGATTAAACGGTAGGCTCTAGAAAAAGCATTTTTGAAAAAAAAACGACCATGTCACGGGGAAATCATTCGGATTTGTTTTAATTTGGTAAGGGCTATGGTCCTTAAATTAGACAAATTGACAAATGTTTTTATTAAAGATTGGCCCGAGAAAATGGAATCGTTGGTCTAAACAAACACCATGCCACGTGGAAATCTAGAAGATCACACAAGCCAATGGAAAAACGAATTGGCAAAGAAATCTGACAAATGGTTTTTGAACGCTTGAGTACAAATCGCCGGTCATAAAAGCAACCATTTATATTCTTATAAAGTTTTTAGACCACTGTAACGTGATTGATCAAAATACATTGAAATGATAAAACTCAGTTTTAGAAGAAATAAATTAATCTCTGTAACTTTGCTTTCAAAAGTTTCATTCGATCTAAGGTTAAAGAGAAAAGGCAAATTTCCGGTCCAAAAACGACCAAGTCACTCGTAAATCTCCGAGATATTATGCTTGGGTAAGAGCTGTAGGCGTTATATTGTTGTAAAGAAGTCTTTCTTATGCAAAAAGGAAACCACAAATGAATTAGAAGAATTCTGATTTTACACATTTTTTACCGAACATTTATTCACTTTATACAAAAAGAACAAATGATCGGTCCAAAAAACGGCCATGCAACTCGTAAATCTTCTTAACATTTTGCTAAGGTTAGAGCTTAAGGTGCTTTATGGCTGTAATGGAGTAATGAGAAAAAAGAATCGGATCAGACACATAGCGTTTTAATAGTTTGCTCTTGGAAATGGTGCTTTATACAAACATTTATACAATTTACATATAAAAGGAACAAATGGCGGGTCAAATGTCTTATGAGCATCGGTCTTGGGCATTGGTGTGCCCTTTTTGATTTTGGTGTTGTGTCACATTATTATATTTCGCAGCATGTTAAGATGTCAGTCAGCTCAGTCGGTTTGTCCGACTGTCGTTTCGTAAGTTCCTGATTGATTACGATCAATTACTTGAGAACAAATGTGACATGAGCATATTGCCCTATAACTTCATAATATATATGAACATTGGTCTTGAAAAGTAAATGAACCAATTTATTATGGAGTCAATGAGTCAATGTCACAGTGTCCTTTTATGGCAAATCGTTTTCGACCAATAAGTCAAAAATTTATTGGTCCTCGGCAACTTAACTTCTTAGGTGCATGGTCGTTGCCAGTAGCTGACCCCTATTGATTTTAGGAAAACGGCTCAAAGGTAAAAGAAACATTGTCCTTGTTTGGCAAAACAGTTACCAGGCACTATTGCATCCTTTTTGACATGCTGACAATTGGACATGTTTTTTTAACAAACATCTCTTGTTTTAATATTTGATTTAAGTCCGAGATAAATGTGATAATTGTATGGATAATGAGTATCAAGTTTAACATCACACAAAGTATGAAACAATAAACCTATAATCTTGCTTGTCTTAGCTATAAGCTTTCTTTACATATTTAAAATCAATAGTTCGGGTATGTTTTACAAATTTATAAAACTTTCTTATTGTTTCTCTCTTGGCACTGCACGAACACCAAATGGTTTTGCTTTTAAAATTAGTCTGTTGTCGAAAACACCAGGATCTCTTGGATCACAGCCCTTGTCTGTCGGGGATGAAAACTCAAAACTCCAGCGTTGTAAAAGAATAGCGACATATAGAAAATATCTTGTCTTGGCAAATAATGCTCCTGCACACTGTCGCTGACCGTAGCCGAATGGTAAATAGCTATAAAAGCAAAAGACGTTTGTTATGATTTATAATAGGAGTTCAAATGCAGTTTAGACATTGCATCGAAGACGGATAATCACAAAAGAACAAGTGCAGTTTGAAACATTAATGAAAACATGAAGCATGAAGATAGTATACATATAATTTAAATTACAAGTGATTGAATGGCAGGTCTGTATTTCATTGCGTTATATTGGATTATATATGTGGGGGCGTTTGCGTGAATTAAGTCAACAGTTATAACACCATTTCATTCGCCTGCTTCTTTCACTTAAAATAGATTCAAACAGTGTTATGGATATTTTGTAACATTACTATAATTATAATACATATCCTTGGTACCATCAAGCACGTGAAGAATAATCGTCTACTTAGTTCAGTTGGAAAACTGACAATAGATATTTTTCAATGGAGCATTTTCCTCCGGTTAATATCGTCATCGTTTTTCATCTCGTAGATATGGGACACTATAGTATTTATATTTTATATATTGTTAGGATTCCAGATAACAATGGAAGAGGGTTCAAACATATATTCGGTTAATGTTACCCACAGATTATTATTATAGATGATTTTGTTGTTGTTGTTGTTGTTGTTGTTATTATACACCGGTTCAAAAATATCAAATTATAAGATTACAATAAGATAATTAAATGTTACCTAAAATGCATTCTTACTTTTTCATGAATTTATGATCGTTTGGTAAGATATTGCCATCTTTGTCCAGAAACCTTTCTGGTCGAAATGTCCATGGGTCACCCCAAATGTCCTTATCATGATGAATAAACCATACGTTACCTAAAACCTATTCATACAATGATTGTTTAAGTTTTTAACATAATATATCAACTGAGAATTACAACTGATGTAATCGAAAATGAGAAAAAAATTAATATACCATAACTCTTTGTTCCATTTTTTGTTTTTTTGTTTTGTGATTGTGGGTCGTGAACGATATCATCCATAAACAGTTTCCGTCCATGAACAGATTCAATAAACTGAGGCTGATGCATTTTCAGTTTAACTGTTTAGGGCGCTCAACAGCTGCCGCACGGCTCCTGGTCATGACAACTACTTTAAATTTTTAAAGCGACAAAGTTATGACAATCAAATAGTTGCCATCCGTTTGTAACCCCGGATATGACATGTTTACATACAAAAATATATCTTCATTTAAAGATAAAGTAACGATTTCTTAAATTTTGTAAAAAACAATTAACACTTACCATACTGTTTGGTTTGATATGATATCCCTCGAAATTTACACGTTTTCTGCAGAAATGTGGCATGAGTAGGGGGGCGACAGTTGCAAATCTAAGCACTTCCATTCCAAAGGCTTTAAGGAAAATACAGTTGTCCCTGTCGGTGTAATTTGGTTTACGATCCCTACCAATAACACGGTCAAGTTCAATCTGTATTTTCCGCTGGTACTCCGGGAAGTTTACCAGAATAAGCATTGTATTCGTCAAATACGCCCATGTTGATACAATACCTTGAAGAGTGGTAATTGTTTTACTTATTTTTTAACTTTCTATCTAACTACCCATTCTTTTGAAGAGCTTGCTTTTAAAAATTGTTGTCATTATGCAAGATGAAATGGGTTTTTTTTAATAAATATCCTGGAGACCTTTGATTTTTTTTCATTTGCAATATGAACTAACTCTTTTAGCTTCTCTAAATCAAATGCACCATCCAATATGAAGCAATATACATTGGTTTGAGCCATAAAATACAGTTACTTGATTTTTTAAATTAGTAAATTGTGAGTCATATTAATGTAATTGAGGAGACGGAAAACAAACAAAGTAAAAAAGTGGCAACAGAAAAAGAAATAAGATTGAGCTTAATAAATAAATCTTATTTAATACGTAAAGAGAATATTGATATCATCGTTCATATAGACGTTTTAAATAGATAGCAAATTGATTTGCAATGCGATAGCGTGAACATTGTCGCAAAATAAAATGGCGTAGTAATAAAAAAAAACATACGAACCTGCATCTATAAATTCTATTATTTGAGCAGTTATTCTTTCATCTGTAAAGAATACGCCATTCCCTGATTGTTTTTCATTTCTTTGGGTATTCAAGTAATGGTCAACAAGTCCTCTTATCTTCCCAGGAATATGACTTCTCTATAAATAAAAAGTGATATGAGCATGTCAATTTCCCTTTGCACATTTATGTAGCACAGAAATGACAGTTTAAATACTAGTTTTAACAATGTTTGATTAGACATAAGCTTTTTATAATCTTTTTGTGAAAATTGAATCGGCTACAACTTTTCTTTTTAAGAAATAGACGCCCTGCCTTGCAATCAAGTTTAAATGTTTGGAAAATCAAAATCAAAAATAAAATCAAAGAAATAAATTGTATAATGGTGTAACAAGTTGATATGGTATGCCTTCATTTCATCGAAATATCGTTTCAGAATTCGGCCTTGGACTGCTCTGCATTGATCATATTCGGTCTTGAATTTCCCTGGAATATATCGTAGGAATGGGAACGACTTCATCAGCAGGTTGTTTTTTGAGTTCATAAAGAAATCTGCCACAATGGGACGTGACGCCAATAATATTTTACGTTTAGGATCGGTTGTCATCTGACGTACAATCAAATGGAAAATTTCAAAAACAGAAATTTTAAATTTTTAATTTTTTGGTTTAGAAATACAGCCAATGGGCCCTTTTTTCGCTTTTAAAAACTTTGACCCATTGGGTTTAAAGTTTAAAAAACTACCCTAATCTGCAATTTTAAACTAAATTTCCAAAAGATTTCAGGGCCTGGGGTAAATACGGATGTTTTATTTTAAACCCCTTTTTAGTTTAAAAAAAAAGAAAACCCATTGTTTAGTAATTTCCACAAGGGTTTTCTTTGCCAAAAGGTTTTAATTTTTTTGGTGGAAAAAAAAAAGCAATAAAAAAAAACATAAAGTTTCAAGGGACTTTTTTTGTTTAATTTTAAAGAGGGAAGTTTTCCCCTGTTTTTCTGAAAAAATTTAATTTTGGGTTGAATTAAATTTTGCCCCCCCCCCCTACAGATAGTTGCGACATACAGGGATCACTTCTCCGTCATATGTCTGTCTGTCCGTCTCAAAACTTCGGACTACTCCTCAAAATCTACTGGTGGAATATCATTCGCACTTTAGGGAAATGATCAGAACTAAGTCTAGTTGTGCATATTGTCGGCATTTTTTTGTTCTTTGGTTTTTGTCAGAGTTATGGCCCTTTAATGTTTATTTTTGTTTTCAAGGTTTATTCGGAATACACCACTCATACCACTTATTCAATTTTTTCAATGAAACTTCATTATTTTCATCCTGTGGAATGAAAAGTTTCATATTTCACTCGCGGCTACCGCCACTCATGAAATATTTATTATTATACCACTCGATGACAATAAATCATGTTTTTATTATATACATTTTTCTCCTTTTTGACATATCAATTTGAAAGACTTTCCCTTAAATTTTGTGTAGAATTCCGGCAAGTGAAAATACGGAAAATATATGTTTCACCACAGTGAAAAATAACTTTTTTACAGTGAAAATACGGAAATTGAAAACAAACGCATTTAATTTCATCATTTCTCAATGTTTCATTTATAAGTATATTAAAAACACATATAGTATTACTTTACTTCCAACACAATTTTCAAACAACAAAGAATTTGTTATATTCATACAAAACATACAGTATAAATAAGTTTTTAAAATAATACAATAAAGAGAAAAAAAATGTATATAATAAACAGAAAATTCAAGTTTTTTCTTTAAATACATACGCCCCCTCGTACAAATCAGATAGCCTCGTGTTTCGATGCTCTTTCTATATGTTATATACTAAAGTTCAACATACATGATCTTTAAATTGTAAGACAATATACGCTGGTCAAATCATATTTTATTGAATGAAAAATGTTCAAAACAACTAAACAGGGTTTTAGATAAAAATCAATATATATGTACGAGAAAATGCATGTATAAAATGTGCAAAGCAACTTAACATGACTTTAGGTAAAAATCAATAAATAAACTCGATATATTTTCGACGCAGGACAGAAATTCCCGAAATACATGTATTGATAAAATGTTTTCATCAAACCATTATATTACATTATGTTTAAATTACAGCTAGCTCGTACTTACTATCAAAGACATAGTGTTTGACAGAGACCTTCCAAACAAATCTAGACATTCGAATTCTTTGCCCTGCATATTGTCTATTCTCTTTATCAGTAAATTCATTTCCACCATGACATTGTCTTCCAAATCTTGAAGTCCACTGCCATACGCATGAATTGCCTTTGCAATTTCTTTCCTGGCAATTTTATGATCCTCGCCAGCGCCGTCACTTGTCATACCCAAAGACTTATTACCGCATCTGAAATGGTGCCCAAAGAATATGTCCGGCCTATCATTGAAGTACGATTTATAGACATCGTCTGCAAAAGCTTTCCGTAGAAGCGATTCGCTGTTTAATACAATAAAGTTGTTCACTAAAATTTTGAGTTGGACTATTTCTCCAAATATTTCCGCATATTCCATGAATTTAAGATGCATATTATCAGCTCTCACTTCTTTGGCACATCCAATTAAAGGTGAACCTTTAGGCCCTGGTATATTGTTCACTATTGTCACTATTGTCACAACTCTATTCAGCAAATGCGCATGTTATAGTACTACAATTTAGATGTAAAACTTCAAATGACAAGATGTGAATATAGTATATATTAGATTTTATATATTGGGCTGGATCACAAATGTATTTGTTTTAAAAATGAAGCTTCATTAAATTTCAATGATGACGACTATCTTCACTTTAATTTAATGCTTTTATACATTTAACTGGTTTTAATGCATAAGTAAAGCATTAACTTAAATTTTAGTACGCTTCTAATCTTTTGCATCACACATTTTGCAAATAATTTGCTCTTAAACTAAGATTTTCCTATTGATTAGATCAGAATGCCTTTAAAAGGCTTCTAAAATGCTTCTTATGCTTTTAAACTAATCATAAACTTTATTTTTTTCACTTACTACTTACTGATTAGTTTTTGTCCCAGCCAGCTATAAGCACGTTAACAACCAGAACATGTAAAAAGTAAAGAAGATAAATGAATATAAGGCTACAGTTATTAGTATAGGCTGAAGAAAGGTCCAGTTACACGCTTTTAAATCTGTTAAAGAGCCTGTGTGTTGTAATTAAGGCTGTTACTACACTTAAATGAAATTTTATATATGTACATGTACACATGTATAATTATTCTATAACAATTTTCAAACATCGAAGAATATGTAAAATGTGTACTGCAAATATTTGCTCACATTATATGTAAGCATTAAAATATATGCATTAATTTCTTATTGAAAAAAATTGACTTAGACTTTATAGAAAATAAATTTCTAATTATCTCCCTTTATTGACATGAAATGTAAATACGGTAATATCATTACCAATAATGCTTTTTGGAACTTATAATATTGATAAATCTTAACTTGAGCGTAATATGTATGATATACAACCATAAAAAATCAGTAACAGGATCACGTTCAGTCATTGCCACTTGCACAACCTCAAAGAACATTTTAACTTATAAACGAAATTATTTTAGACTAAGCATATGAAGTCCATCACGAACAACTCGTGTTAATACAAATCTTCATTGTTTAAATTTCATTGTTTGAGCATTTTTATACAACATTCTCCTTTAAACATGCACATTTAGTAATGACAAGTTGACCAAATAAAAAATAACAACTTATTTTCTACGTGTAAGCTGTTTTAATGCAATGTAACACTCGTGTTATAAGTATATTAAGGTAACTTAAAGGCGCATTATGCCTCAAAAATGAATAAACAGTTTTTTTTTGTTTTGTTTTTTTGAAAGGCGAACATGCGTTTTATATGTGTTTTATAACGTTTCCATATTGGTTTAAGGGCATTTCAGGTTCTTATCATATTCGCTGAATGTGAAGCTATTTGTCATGAAAGTCACAAAATGTAAACAAAGAAGTATTTTGACTTCCATACAAAATACTATATCACTATATCAACTAACTGCATTAATTGCAACAGGAGCAAAATACGGTTTAGGTAATTAGCTAATAAGTAACTTTTTGGAAACAATAAAAGGGATAAAAAATGAAAAATGAAAATTAAATTATTTTTTGGGCATTTTGGGCCTTTAAAATATACTGTATAGCGATAGAAGTCATGCAAAGAAAACTTTTATTTATTAATAAGTAAACATAATAATATTGGTATTATAATGTACACAAGCATATTTCTTCTTTTTTTATGTCAGTGCCAGTTGACTTAGAAATAATACAAATTTCAGGATGACTACCAATGAAGGCATTATTATGGGTATTTTATTTGCCAACTAAAATTAAGTGGTAAATAACCATGACGTATATTTTACAGAACGCGGACTGCAATATGTTTTTTTTTCTAGATCCATCAGAGCATAAACATTAAACAGACCGAAGCACTTTTTCTTTCTTTCTTTTTTCTGTAGAACGCGAAAGATAAATGCATACAAATTGTGTACAAATTATGATAAATGTACTATATTGTAGTGTTTGAAGCACTTTTGATTGATATTTTCTTAATTTTGACTTTTTGACGTTACGTTGTACTTATATTATCATGACGTCAGTGGCTATATATCAGTTAATTTTGAACTAATATTTGCAAACCTTTTAAATACCAAAAGGATATAAAAATTGTACCTTAGTAAATTGTAATTAATGTATTTCCATAAAGTTAAATAAAAAGTAAATATGTGAAAAATTTTGCACTATGTTGGTTTTCTCATTAGGCGTCCCATTTCATTGTTACAGAGAGCCGCCTTATACATTAGTATGTATACTCTACAGTAATATCAGATGAAGTGTTGATGATAATAACTTAGATTTGTTGATTCAAATGATTTGCCAATCACCCACAGAGAAAAGTTCGAATCTGGTCAAGGACTTTGAAATACATCACGAGAGAAAGCTATCCAGATTGCATCTTAAAACGCCTTTGGTTCTACTCAAGTGCCCGTCCGTGCCTGAAGAAATACACACAGGGGTATACGAGCTAGCAAGTTCCCATATGGTTTGACTTGTGAAGTGTCAGAGGAACTTACAAACCAACGTAACAAAAAAAATACACTCACAGTGTTAAAATAAAATAATGTTCTCCAACACAAAGTGACATCAATGTCAATCAAAGTTTAAGGCGGCGCTTATGGAATGACTTTCAAAATGAAATTCCACGAAAATATTATAGTTTTTAACGTTAAATAATTAATAAATAAACTACAAATGTTTATCTTCACCCCTTAAGGCAGTGTCATTACATTTGCAAAGTCAGTCCTGATCACGCTCATTTACAAAAATGATAATTGTTCTGCTGGGTCGTATTTGTGAATTTGATACTTTAAATAATTGTTACAAAACATGTTATTAATAAGGTATATGATATGGTGATTATTATATTCCTGGCAGACAAGCAGACATAATATATGTTAAATGGTGTAATGGTATGGTTCGTTATTGACATTCATTATCTCATTGATATTATGATTCACAAGTTTTGTTGCTACAGTTATACATGTATTGTTTTTATCTATTTTTTTGCTTTTGTCAGAACATTAGCTTTAAAAAATGAGCCGCGTCACGACAAAACCACCATATTGCGTTTGCGACAAGCATGGATCCAGACCAGCCTGCGCATCCGCGCAGTCTGATCAGGATCCATGCTGTTCGCTTACAACCCTATAACAAGTAGAGAAACTGATAGCGAACAGCATGGATCCTGATCAGACTGCGCGGATGCGCAAACTGGTCTGGATCCATGTTGGTCGGAAACCCATTATATTGGTTTTGTCGTGACACGGCTCATATGTTTTGACGATAGAAGAAATATTTGCATAGTTATCACTTCGTCCGAATGACTCCCCCACCAGCTGTGATTCAATATTTTTTATCTCCAGTCCGTTTTAAATTCTGCCTCCAACAGTAAAGCTGGAACGTCGCCATATGACCTATACTGTGTTGGTGCGAAGTAAAACCCAATCCAACAACAACGACAATCTTCAATGTATACATCTAAAGAAAAGCATCAGACAGCTGGGACGTGTTGTCAATCATTAACTATATATTCTTTGTAATTGCATTGTCAATACATAAATATGCATAATTTAAACACAGATGGTGATACCGTGTTCCCTTTTTTCTGCATTATTCTTAATTAGTTGCTTTCATGAAATTTACAACGCATACATGCTAATTCTTTGTTTTATGCAACGTTAACTTATTCACATTTTCACATCAAAGAAATCAAAAATGTCTCTTTATATTTACATGTTTTATTATGTAATTATATCTGAAGATCTGAAGCCGGCATATGTCATGTTAGACTTGCAAATGAGTTTTCATTCTTTACTGCCGGTAGCCTGTGCCTTCAGAATAGGGTCAGGTCAGCCTGTCCGTCAGAGACAGGTTACGCCAGAACAATAAAATGTTTGAAAATGATACTTTATATAATTATTTACATATCATTTGAAATTAAACGAGGATATGTTATGTAACATTTGTTGTTAAATATGTACACAATAAGATTTGTTAGTTTACTTTTTGTTATTGTTGTTGTCTTTGTTTGTTTGTTGTTGTTTTGCCACAAGCAGACGTTCAAGGATAAATCTTATAGCTATTACATTTATCTTATATAAGATAACCTTATATAGTCATAGAGGCTATAGAAGAAAATTGCCCAGCTTCATAGTACTTGGCGTAACTATATCATTTATGTTTTTTCTTTGTTTCATTGCTTCTTTTAACTTCTGTCAAGCATTTATAATCTCCTTGATCACTACTGTTTTTTTTTTAAACGAGGCAATCTGATTTGTACGAGTATCCCCCGAGTATTAATCAGATAGCCGAGTGTTTTGATGTTCTTTCTCTTTTGTATCATAATCAAACATAAAAATACGTTCCCTGTTGTCACAATATGAAACCCCAGAAAAAAGTAACCAATCAACAAGCATCTGAATATGATATTTCTATCGTTCTGCCTTTCTTTGCCGTCACAATAAGAACATCCAATCAAAATGAGCCAATTAATGTGCATGCTTTTGAGTGCTGGTAACTAATACCTCCACTCCAGTTAACGCACTGTGAATTTATATGTAACATACGATTTAACTCTGACACATTTTCAGCAGAAAGGTCCCTAAACTATGATACAAATACATTATATCTAGTAATACACGTGTGCATAACCAATTTAAACTTATCTCATAAAATAAACAGATATTATTGAGGTAAAAATACACAGTAGATTTAGACTGCGCCTTTTTGCGATATATATTACACGTAATATCCCTTTTCATTATTTGTAATATTAATTACCTTAATTTATTAAAATTTTATTCATTCATTCTTCTGCATCAGCAAAGTCACGTGTTTTAAAAAATATATCTATGGTATGAAACAATGTATGATTTACATATTTAATGATTATTGGTGTTAAATATAACCGCATTTTAAACTTTAAAATCTATTTATTTCAATGTGTTAAATATAAACCCGTTTTGTTAAACCGCGTCAAGTCCAACTATAATTGTCATGTTAATGAAAAGATATATGTCATGTTGGTAGGATTCAATCTCTACTTTCATTTGAGCAATTCTTTAGATAAGGTTTAAACCTGAAAATTCGATTAGAGCATTGATGGTTTTAAATAGAAGCTCGGTTTAATGTCAACCTATAGACGCATTTACAAACGCTTTTAAAAGCTTGGCGGCGACGAAATAGATTAAAATTCTAACATGTATGGATTTGAAAGGGAAAACCGTCCGGCTTTACAATCAATAAAATAAATATATATAGTGTTCTGGTATATTGTAATGATCAATTGTTAATTGAAACACACAATAGGTGTCGTGTGTTATAAACATGGACGTTTGTAACGTAGAGATACGAAATTTATGTTGACTAATACAAATACAATACTTTGAAAGGAAATTGAAATTATAGTGAAACTAAAGGTTACATGTTTTAACTTAATATATGATACACAAAACAGTGGTTTAAATTTTGATTTTTGGATTTATAGAAAAAAAAACTTAAGGAAAGGGTATGTAATGTTTATTCAAATCATGACTTAAGAATGTGATATGTTTATACGTTATAAAATCATGATTAAATTATAATAGATGAAGTGTGTGTGTACATTGTATTATGGAGTACCGGTAGTACTTTCAATTTACTAAGATGTTTAATTTGTTCAAATTTTAAATCTGTCTTAATGAATGAACAGGAGTTAGTATGAGAGTTTCAGTCTGTTAACATTGCCATGTTTTTGTGTGTTTTGTTTTTCTTTCATATTAGTTTATTTCTTACTGAATACATTAACAATTCTAAATTGAGGCTTAATTTGATTAGTTTTTGTGGGTTTATATGTCTTTTTGTGGAGGGGGAGTTGATTCTTTCTCGAAAGATTTAAAATATCATTAACACGCTGTCCTAGTTTCGGAGTTATCATTTAAATTTAAATTGATTTGTGAAGAATTTGTATTTTAAAAATATCCAATACACGTACAAAGACTGGAAATGACGACACAATCAATTAATTTGACTACCTTTAAGATCGCTCAAAAAGCTAAAGTTGTTGTGTAAAATAGCGCAATAGTTAAAATGCGATTAACTTTTGATCGATTCATAAGAGGTGAAAAGATTATTGGATTTCTTTTTCGATACAAATATCGTAATCAAAATCAAGACAGCTTACCGTGTTTAAAACTTAAGTTATAGATATAATTTACTTATAAATACAAGGAATTTTAAAATGTTTTCGACCGATTATATCAGTTTAATTTATTCTATGTTATATTTTGTTGTATAAACAAGTTAGATTAATAATAAATAAGGGATTAAGACAGATTAAGTATAACCATTGATAGTAAGTAGGCAATTAAACTGTACAAATATATAAATTGGACAACACACATTTAATTTGGTTTTTTTAAACACATACTTTTTATTCTTTTTTTTTTAATCGTGATTTCTATGTTTTGCTTTGTCTTATTTTCTTTTTTTTAAAAAACAATATATATCTTAAACTTCACAGATAAGAAAATAGCCAAAAATGTTGTATAAGTTTTAAGACACTTCGTGTATTTCTACTTGAGCAAACTAAAGAACAAAAGTAAACATAATCATGCTGTTATCTATTTATCTAAAACATGTGTCATTTATTAGAGACATATTCGATCCAATTTTCTCTAACACTACCGTTGAAAAGCAATGTTAACATGATCAAGCGGTATTCAAATAAATGTTCGGATAAATAAAATGAAAAGCCCGGTTACAAATGAGAGCTTTGTAAATATTTAGCTTTCCGTGCGTTTATGACGCGGTATTGTAATCTAGCGGGTTTTTGTCATATCGGATATTGGTTTGTAGTTATTTATTCAAGGATATCAAGTTATGTGTCTGGGGAGTGAATGTGTTCATACTAAATGGGAATTAATTCCGTTTATAACAATATGCTTGTCATTAGTGCGGTTACATGTATAGATGATACATAACTGGAAATATACATGTCTCTTAATCTAAGTACATAATTATAAAGTATTATTTTGTTTTTGCTAAAATGTCGCAGTTTAAATTAAAGAATATTCTCCGATAAAAAGATATAAAGAAAGTTTTAGAAAATCTTTTATGGATTTAAAGTTACTTCGTGTGAATTTATTGTAACTAGGTTGATTTGAAAAGGAAATTAAAATGAATTTAACCATTAAAGATTTAGTATATACACACAATGTAAAATAGTGACACTGGCTATTTATTATTTATTTATTATTGTTCAGTTCAAATATTAACTTAATGCGTATATCTTTTACAGGTCAAAATAAAATTGGTGTACATATAAAATGAGTTTCGGCTACTACAAAAAGACAAAATCGGCTCCGCCTCCGAATTCGTATGGCTTCAAACAGGTACGTTTAGTCTTTTAGATTTAACAAGCAGTACCTCTTAGAGGCTTGCAGAAATCATGCTCACAAAATAGTCAAATACGGTTTTTCATGCGATTTTTAAATTGTTACTTCATGATTTATATCAATCTATTTAAAGAGATGCATAAGACATCTAAAAGTGCATTCCGGCGTATGAAAAGGCGAGATTTTCGCGTTTAATCATCCAAGCGCCTTGTCCGGTATATACCGTCATACGGTATTTAGTGTGATGCTCCATTTTCTTAGCCTCAATCTAGTTAGGTTCTTTTAAACAACATACATACTTCTGATTAAATCTGTGAAAGTTAATGAAATAAATTATAGTGTGTCCATATTCGTCTTTCTCGTCTGTAAATTAAAGGGAAAATCCTGTTTTGAAGAAATATTTGTGTCTTAATCTGCTATAGATTTATCATGAATAAATAATTCAATTGAATAATAAGGCTACAGAAACGTCATATTTCAACAACACTTTTAATATTTTCCTCCAATCTTTAAATCTGTAAACTGTAAATCCGTTGCCTTATCTTTATTTCTCGGGTATGTTAAAGCATGGACATATTTTTGTAGCGTTCTACTTAATTTCATTGTCCGCTTTATTTCTTAAGAAAACCCAAATTATCTTATAAAAGATGTGACGTAAACTACCTTTTCAAGTGACGTAACCTAACATTTTTAAGTGAGAAATGACCTTGAGGAAAAGGTGTCAGCCTCATAACCAAGAATCATGGTATTGAACACTTCTGTGGTCACCACTACGTTTTCCTCATCGGACCTTGTTACGATTAAATGTGAAAACAGTTAAATATGTAAGTCTTAATTCACTGTAACCAGGTGTTATAAAATCTAAAATATTAAATATTTCAAACCTTAGTTCTGTAATCAGGTATATATATCATTTGATTACAGGTTTCGCCAAAGGAGCTACAAGACATAATGAAAAGAGTTACCAGGGCAACATATAGTGCTAAACTCCACACTGAGGAGCCAGGGAAAGTATGTATGTGTTAAACTTAAAAACATCATAAGCCTGAGGTTATAAAAGAATTATCATAGCTCAATCTCAGACCTCAGACATTTCATTGGCTAGAAATTGTCAACTAATGTACACTGACCAATGAAAATCGTGAGATTCTAGAGAGTACTCCAGATCTGGTTATTACTCAGCATTGATGCCTAACTTAACTGTTTTATTATAGAAAACGAGGTATTCACTAACAGTTTTAATTACAATACATGTGTATAGATAGACAATATTGAATGTATTAGTTTGCACAATTCCAAATAACTATGACAATTGAAACATTTTGTAATTGCGAATGTCTACATTTTTTTTAGATTTGTTTTTCTAATCTAGTTATAACATTGATGAATGTCGATGAATGTCGACGAGGTTCGGCTGAGCGGGCGTTAAAGATTTTGTCCGTGCACAGCTTGTCCTACCTTTTTATTGAATTTCAATTTCTAACATTTACAAAATTCTTGTGAAAACGTTCCCTGGTTTTGTTATTGTGAGTTGATAATTTTTGCAGAGCTTTGACCCTTTGTTATCAAGACATTCGTAATATCTGCTGTTATTTCATGCTTTCCCGTGTTTTATAGTAATATATCAGATGATTATATTCTGATAAACCAATAGTGAAATTTATAAAATAAAATTTTCACTGCAGCAAGACTATATCAAAATGCGGATTAAAAGAAAATCATAACTACGAGGAATAAATGGAATAACAGGCAGAAATAAATGCCGTCATACGTAAATTGTGATTCTTTAGGAAAAGAAAGTCGATGTTACCATACATCATGTTAAAATATGTATAAAAATTAGAGAAATTTAACAGAACTATATTTCAAAATTGATGATGTGACGTCATGATGTGATGACGTCACAAAGGAGAATGCGCGACGTTACGCGGCAAAATCAGTGAAAAATACTTAAAATCACTTAAAAAGCATGAAATAAAAAGAAAATTTATTTGTTTTACATATAAGATTGAAATATATTTCATTCGTGAACATCAGCTATTATATTTTCAATCGTGGCTACGCCACTCGTGAAAATATTGCATCTGGTCACTGAGTGAACACTCAGTGAAATTATATTTCTATCTTACATGCAAAGCAAACAAATATCCTCTATAAAATCTGGTTTTGTGACAATACACTGTCACTTGTTTTATTGTTTCATATGAATTGTAAAATCTTGTAATTTTTCAGGCTTTTATATCTTTTGAGTATAGATCTATTGTAAAAATACATATATATTTTTGTAATACTTCTATAATTTTCAATGAATCCTGAACAGCAGTTTATCTTACTATTTAAAAAAAAATTCAAGTAAACTTTTTAATATCTAAATAATTGATCGTTTTCTCTGTAGCTAAACAACTACGAGCATTTGTTGGTAGAAAATGGACGTCGAAGCGTCGCTTCCGCGTGCAGCAGACAAACACAGTCACGAGTGTCGTCAGCAATGACGTCAGACAGTGGAATGCAACAGCGCCGACTTACAGACCGAGAAATGAGCCGACTTATACGTAGACTACAAGTAAGTATGGTGCTCATAGTGACTACATGTATATCATTATAATACTATTTATAAACTACACAGTTGTTAAGAATTCCAGACCTATAGGGTGCGGTTTAAAGGATACTATGAAAGGCGAAAAATAAATATGTTACCTAGACCTCTGCATTCATACTTTTGTCAGATATAGGGAAACGTAGTAGTTGAAATTTGTAATAAATTTAGGAAATATTCTCATTTAATGAAGCATACATTAGTTCATTTGTCATCAGCTTCTCATTTACTTTCTAAAAATAGTTTTAACTAGTCTTTACCATCGTCGGAACCCACGTGTACTGATTTCGCTGAACTACATTCATCACGAATGAAGTGTATACGTAACGAGTACGCATGAGTTACCGAGGATGAGTCTTAACCGACCAGCCAAATTTTTCAAAATTAGTCATTGTCCGTACGGCATTCCCGCGTAAACTTATCACACGCTGGTTTCTTGATATTGATGTTATAAGTGTTCAAACCAACTTATTTATCAAAGCATTTCAGTTAGCTATATTTGTAAATGACTTTAAATCGGAATGTACATATATTCATTTCTTCTTATTTTAGAGACCAACAACTGCTACGTCTGCTCATAGATACAAAAATGAGGAAGCTGAAAATCTTAAACAAGGAAAAATAGTCCGTGCCAAATCAGCAGACGTGAACAGTTACAAGAAAACTATAGCCAAATTACAACGCCCAACTACCGCAACGCTTGCTAAAACGCTCAATACGTGCCATTTATGTTATGATCATGGCAATAAAAAGGAGGAAGAAGATCTAGACGCATTTGACTTTGACTACAGCGATGACAAAGTAGTTCCGTCAGAGGAGTTAGACTTTATTGTAGAAAGAATGACGCAGCCGACATTGGCTAGCAAAAGTGGTGCAGGATACGTTTGTCAAAAGTTGCCTAGATACGTGGATGAGGTTAAAATAAGAGAAAATTTACCATTACTCAGCGGTCTACGTAGGAGTAAGAATGTAAGGGAGATTACTGCGCGTCTGTATCCATCGAGACGCCATCTTGGAATTACGCCTCAAGCGACACCTATAACGACATTTTAACTTAGGATAGTATTCTAATTTATTTTTTTAGATATTATAACAAAATAAGATTTTTATACAGATTTCGATATTTCGTTAAGCAGTGATTTAAGTGCTTTCTGTTCATTTTCTAACCTGATTTTCGAAGACAGCGTCACCTCAGTAGGAAATGTCCTTGACCTACAATGTGTTTATATTTATAAGACTAGATCAATTCCAAACTAAGTAATAAATAGCTTAATTAGACGGTTTGGGCATTAGTACCCTAGGGAGATTCTGTCTCGTTTCGTTTATACATGAACACTCAAAAAACTTGAACGATGGCCATGTTGACAGTACAAAGGGCTATGAAACGACGAAGTTAAGGAGAATAAATGTATAACTTCTGAATTATAATATAACTGATAAGTAGAGATTTAAAGAGTGTTTAATTTTGTTAGTTGTATGAAGAAGTCATTGTTTAACGCTTGATCAATTCTAGCACGATCAGCTAAAATTAATTATAAACAGCATATGTATTAGTACTGCGAAAGTAGTGATTTTCTTAGTAAAGGAATCCTTTTTAGATCTAGCGTTAAGTACTTCGTTTCCTTATTTTTCTCTTCAATTTCAATAATTCTATTTATTTCTATGCTATTAGAACCAGATTTTAAGAAATAAAATAACTGAATAATCATATGTCTTCCTCTTTCCTTTTTTTGATATAAGTATCATCATCATCATCATCATCATCATCATTATCACCATCATCATCATCATCATCATCATCATCATCATCATCATCATCATTATTATTATTATTATTATTATTATTATTATTATTATTATGATAATTATTGTTATCATCATCATCATCATCATCATCATCATTTATACTCATCTTTTCATCATTGTTGTGTTTCTTTTACATTACAGTCATCATCATTAACAACAATCTTAACATATAGTCATCAAAATTATTACTGTATTTTTCATTTTGTAAATCTTTTTCAGACTTCTTACCATTCGTGCATATTTTTCAAGTGTTACGCTTCAAAAATAGGTATTTAATAGAAAAAATATTAAAAATCATGCTACAAATACTCGGTTTTGTTGGTTAAACGAATAAAACTAAGAAGCAGAATTTTTTTTTCAATCCCTTTGAATTGATTTTTATGTCCAAACATTTCATAGCTTTCGCGATTCACGCGATCATCTTTCATTTAATATGGTGGACGATGTAATTGGTTTATTTGAAGAATGTATGCATGAAATGTTATAATTATACTGATGTAATTATACTGATGATTTAACTTTCATTATATTTCACAATAATAAAGAATGTTCTTGGTTCGTTGCCAATATCAGGTACTTAATATCATCAGCGTATTTACCTTTCCTTACGTCATATTTTATCATACACATGTATCTCAATCACGTCATAATTTTGAAATTCTCGTTTCGTTATCACGTTAAAAAAAAACAAATCGAGTGGTTAATAAGAAAAACATCAAAATTCATTCACTCCACTAGAACGATTTTTGAAGTAATTGTTGTAAACTTTTTTTTTAAATCCTTACGATATTTAGAAAAGGAAGTAGCATTTCACTCATGCACATTCTGCATAAGACAAACAAACGATGTTGAAGACAAATTAAGTCTGTATTTCCAATTGAATTTACAAAATTTACTCCTTTACCCGCAATGCATGATAACTTGATGGGGAAAAAAACGCGATGGCATGCTGATGGCATCTTTCGGTCAATCGTACCATCGAGCAATCGTGTTTTCACCATCCGGGGTATTTCATAATTCCCATTTTAAAAGACCCTGCAACATCGTACCATTGCCTTTTTGCTATCGTACCATCGCTTTTTCACCAACGTGTCATCGCATTTTTATCATTGTGCCATCGCCTTTTACATTTTATTTATTTTGTATATGAATTATTTCTAGGGGAATGAAGACATTTTTCATGTGAATAAATGATTTTTTTACAACGATCATCAGAATGATTTCCAAGTCATACGTGGTCACATTGGGGAATTCTAAAACAGGATATAGTCCTCATCATTTCAATATGTACATGGTAACCTTGGCCACTATGCTTCTTTTGTTGTTGTTGGGTTTTTTTCCTGTTAAAAGTTATGTTTTTATATGATCTAAATACTTGGAACCTCAAGTTACACAGCATTGATCATGATTATGAACATCTTGTAAATCTTTGTTTTAGGCGTGGAATTTCTGCACTGTCAGTTCTGCATAGCAACATATTGCATAGAAAAAGTTCAATTGAGCATACATTTACTTTTTGCCTTGTCGTTTCATTGAAACGGTTTAAGTACAAATGGGCTGTTTTATATTTGAAAAGACCGTTAAATATATTTACTTTTGTTTTAGGGGTAAATAAATGAGTATTTTTTTGTTATTTATTAAAAAAATGCTGATACATGCATTTATAAATGAACACATGTTAGGAGATCATGTTGTAAGGAAAAATAAATACGAAAGACTCGTGGGGACATTTAAACTTCATTAATTCCCGATTTCAACTTCACGAATTCACGATTCAACTTCGTGAATTAACGATTTCAACTTCATGAATCCATGGTCTTTCTTGTTTATAACAGCTTTATGTGTTCCAATCAATCAATCAATCAATCAATCAATCAATCAGTCAGTCAACACTTATAATGTTTTATGAGACACAGCCTTTGTTCGATTGTTCGTTTATTACTTTTTTCTTATTTGTTGTTGTTGCTACATGTAATGTTTTTAACATCATTTTCGCTTGGATTACTTTGCTACAATTCATGACGACTTTTATTGTATGATGTTTTAGACACCAGAAAGCGCTTCTCCAAGATCTGCTGAACAATATTTAAGAAAATATTACACAGCACCTGCTTGCTGTTACAATTAATAAGTTTTCACATAATAAAATCGAAAACAAGACCTATGACGAAATTAAATAAGTTGGAATTTAAAATGACATAAACTTATATGGACAATGTGGCCGGTTTAAAAAATGTACATAGTGAATATAACAGTAAAACTATTCAAATGTTTTGCTTAGGCCTCAAACAGTGATCGGCTTTCTATTGAGTTAATACATATTGTAGGTACTTATCCATCTACGATATATATTTTAATTAATGCAAACACAAAGCAATGTTGTAAGAAACCAAAAGGTTACATATATCTTACAAAATATTAATGCTCTCTGCATTGTAGCTTCACAAGGAATCTTTGAATTATGTCTTCCCATATACGCCTTGAACTCCGCATTTCCTAATTGATCATGTTTTTTTTTCATATTTCATAGAGAAGAGGTATGCATAGTTCGACTTTTGGGACATAATTTATGTAACATTTGTAGAGATCAACAAGAAGAAACTACGCAACAAGGATCTGCTCATAATAGTTTCGGATGGTCACGAAACAATTCTTAAAACTGGTTTCATAAACTAATGTAACCTCGGGGCGGACATACTTTACAAAAGGTAGATGATTCAAAGTACTTTTTTTCAAGCTCACTATTCAATGTTGCATGACAAATATACGAACATTGGTCATGTGAAAACCTCAGACCATTGAAAATACTGCGTACAAAAATAAAGGCGAGCAATTTGCTGTACTAGTTACTTTGAGTCATTGGCATATCGGGTGAAAAATCGTTATATTGTCATATGATAATTTGATTGAACAATTGTAAGAAATAATAACTTAATTTTATCTTGTTTGAATGCTCAATACAAAAAATATGCATTCATTTCGAAAGAAATGCCATTCAGTCTTGTATTTTTCACAAGAAAACACAGCGGTCACATCTTTGTTGTTTTTCGTTTGCGGTGACTAATGAGATTTAAAATATACTTGTTACTTAAAAGCATTGTAATAAAAGCATTATTGTCATTAAAAATTAACAATTACTACCATTTGGAGAAAACATATTGGAGTTGTAGGGTTTGCAAATGAAAACAATGCTAAATTGATAAGATAAGATTTGCATATTATTTATATCATTTTAATTGTTGATATATCAAATGTGTAGATTAATATAATATTTACATTGTATTGTATATTGCTGTATTCTTATAGAAATTCTCTAATTGAAAGATTCTGTTTTATTTTCGAGTAACCGTCACACTCCGTTTGATATATTGTTTTACTTTGATAAAATAAGGAAATATGTAACCACAAATGTAATGTAATATAAATGTGATGCTGTCATAAAAGAAAAGAAAAATGAAATATTTATTTCTCTTCAGCTAGAAGTTGCAAATATAACTCTATTACAGTATCTGTGCTTATTACCGGCATATTAGAATAACAAAATTTGATATATTTATATCCATTTATATATCATATACAGTTTATTTTGGCTTTGGCTTTGGCTTCAGCATCTCAATTTTCACCTTGATTTCCTCGACCTTTGCAATGTATGGTCCTGTCATATTTTGCATGCTTGCTACACATTTATTGGTTTTGTCAATCTCCGCATTCAGCTTGTCCCTTTCGATTGCCCCAATAATTGCCTCAGCAATCGCATCAATACCAAGAAATAAGACTCCGACAGCAATAGCTGAAAACCCAGCCGTTATTGTCTCACCAACTACCTCTACAACATTTTCTAGGAAATCCATTTCAGCTATTGTTGAACAAGAAAATAGTCCGACAATGCCACCAATCGGCCCGAGGCTTTCTGCAAACTCTTCTGCGACTTTGATTTTTTCTTCAAATGAAACAGATACGTCCATAAGCATTTTGAATATCTTCGGATCCAGTTTGGTTTTTATCTCTTTAACCTTTTGTTTGACAAACTTGTTGATGGCATCAGCGCAGTCTGCAATGCTCTGAGCGTTAGCTCTTACCGTCGCTTTTGTATCAATAGACACGTGTTTCAGGTTCCCTTTTAAATGCGTGTTAATGATGTCGACAAGATCATTTGTGGCCGTCACATCTATAGTCAGATTATTATAGAGTGCCCCTAAGTTTTGTTGTAATTTAGCCCTTCTTTCAGGGTTTCCGGGATAAAATAAATCTTCGAAAATCCCCATCGTTTATCTCTAAAATAATAAATATACAATGTATAAGAGTTTGACAAAAAAAAATGCCGAAGAGAAATCAGCAGCAGTGTAGATTTAATTTTGAAAGAAGTGTGTTTTCTGGGCACTTACAGAATTATACCTTATTATTAAAAAAAAAATACATAAAAAAACGAAATATGTGATGCATATATTTTTATGTGAACCCCACTTTACAAAATAAATCAAAAGTTCGATGTTGTTATTATTATACGTCAGTCGTAAGATAATGTGCATAAATATTATACGTGGTGGTAAATCTCATCTGGCATTTGATTTGCCAGAAGAGGCATTTGCTTTTAGACCACGTAATTCAATTGCATTTTTTAAATGAAGTGCGTTTAAATGACGTTTCAATTTTCATGGATCTGTTTGCCAATGATAAAATTACACCAAAAAGAAAACAAAAGGAGCAACGTAAAAATCGGTTACCTTTAAAGAACTGGAGAAATCACTGAGGTATCCCAAGTTTTCACAAACTGTATGTAGCTATATGTTTTAAACAACTCTATATAGGGACAAAATTCAACGCCTTAGTAGGCCGGTCATGGTAATGAATTTCAAAACTTGATTGCTATCCAATTTCTTCATAATACAAAATTACAAGGTAACATTGTTTTTCCTATCTTTAAATACGTTTATCCGGTTTCACAAATTGCCTTGTCATTTCGCAAATAATTATATAAATTAAATATAAAAATATTTTTAGATTAGAACAGGAATGGCTTTCTTGGGCCACTTTAACATTTTTTTCTCATTTGATTTTCTTTTAAGGAAACGGTGAGTTCAAATGATTTTCAAATATGAATAAAAGTTAATGAAGGGTATTTGCCTACATTATGCTTCTGCTTTTGTTCGGTTATCCGTAAGGTTTTTCACCGGTGATCCAGTGAGGCTGAGCATAGTTAATTACCAATTGTCAAAGCATCTGCCACAGAGTCAGTTTATATATATATATAGATGCTTTCATGAATTACCTCAAAATGGCGGTCAAGGGAGGTAAATCATGAAAGCATCTATAACTATCCCTAAAAAAAAGAAAACAAACAAAACTGAATCTTTGGCAGATGCTTTAGGTTTTTTACGCTATATTCACTTTATATCTTAAGGTAAAAAGCTATAGGTCAAGTATGCGCATGTAGACATCTCATAATGTTGTGGCGATTCGGACATTTCTACCCAGAACATGAAATTCTAATAGGCGCGAATTAATTACTTTTTCTCCTTTCTCTTTAATACCTAAATAACTTACTTTCTTTCTTCCTTTGACAATATTTTGCACTTTCATATAAATTTTCAAAAATCAAAATTATCATTTATCTGGATGCATGGTGCTTTAAAATAATGTGAAATTATCGTCTACATTGCTGACTTACTATGTCATTAATAAGCAATTACTTGTAAACTATTGAAAACTTAAAAACTAGCATAAATGTTGATGCTATCTTTTACTTAGAATTGATATTTGTAAAGAAAGTAAATCCGGTTTCGCTTAAGTGGTTTATGTTATTGACAATATCATACGTTTTGAAAAAAGTGAACCTTTTATAATTTCGGTGTAATTTCACATTAATTTTGCTCAATCTTGAAACGTGTCGGTATATTTCACTTAAGGTAATATAACTACTATCATCTCGTAATTACTTCTTTTATACAAATAAATACAGAGTAGTGTCAGACTTTCACATTCTTAGCTTTGTTATTTGTATTAATATCGACCTGTACATTATGAATAAAATATGATTTATTTTGTTATATTAAACTTTATGTTTTGCAGCTTATAAGTCTGACCACACAAAGACTGTAATCATGCATCTCCTTTTTATAAGCGATGTGGCCTACATCATGCATATTTAACACATGTAGTTTTAAAACAATGAGCAAGAAGCCACCTGTAGTCCGTATGAATTCCGTACATTTTCGATGCTTTTCGTTAATTAAGAAAGTTTCGTGTTAATATGTACGTTAATTTTTCTTTTAGAAGAAAATGAAAGTTAACAATGGAAAATTGGCAAAATGCTTTTAATAGTAATACATTTTTCACTTAAGTGTAACTTTAGCCTACAAACGAATAACCTTAAATTTAATATGTGCATCATTTAATGCACAAGATCGTGAGATATTTATGTTAAATGTTTTAAAATAGTTACTTGGTTAAAATCAGTTAATTGCATATACTACGATTAAATTAGACCTATACATTCCTAAAAATCAAAAGCATTTTCTACGGCTTGGATCAACATGGATGATAAATCTTGTGAAAAACATTTAACAGAAAGACCTGAGCTGTGGATGTTTTCAAAGAATTAAATCGATTTTAATAAAAACTGACAGTTCCTTGATAGAAAAAGAAACTCGTCATGTAACTAAAGTATGAGCATTTTTTGTCTCTTTTATTGAATACATGGAAGACATCAAATTCTCTGAATAAATCATCCTCAAGTAATCTGTACAAAAACATTAAACTTTTCAGTTTTAAATGGGGCATTGTTTTTACTTGACACAAGTAACTGGTTTTGAAATTATTTATACACCATGAATCACATTAAGTTTGAGAGATAAAAAGATTTAGCAGTTTATGTGACTTTTTGCTACCAGCCTATCAATTAGACGAGTGATTCCAAAATATCCAGCAACCTTGAAATTTTGAATGGAGCTTAACAAAATCTTTATTGTCATTTGATAATTCGACCTACTACTGGAATACCAGTACAGGTAAGAGGAAAGGTTTTTTTTTATTTTTTCACATCAAGATAATGCCAAAACGTTTTTGTCAATACAGAGCAGTAAAGATGAGTTATTTTGAAAGTACCCTACTTTTTATATAGTTTTCAGAAATGTTTTAGGTAGGATGTAAAATTGAAAGATTTGTTTTCAATGAGTGAAAATGAAATGTTATATACAAGTTAAATGATATAACATACTTAATTTGCAAAATCTAGGCATACAATTATATATAAAAAATATTGAGCCGAAAAAAAATTATGTGTCACCAACTCAATCTTTAATATATTTGCGTTTGTTTTTTGTTTGTTTGTCTTTTTTGCCTTGAATTTTAAAGTTTCGCCTATTTTATGGACTGATAACTCGTAATTAAGGTTCTGAAGACCTTTGTTATTTACACTTTTCATGTAGCTGACGGTTTTTTAGTGATATGTTTTTGAGTGATTATGTACAATTTCAGGAATTGAAATTAATAAGCTTGTAAAATGTTAACCTTCTTTGTCTCTTAGTCTTGGCATTTTATTGAAAATAACTTTTAGTTCCCAAATTTAAACTCACAAATGTTTTATATTCCATGAATTATTTGTAAATTATACCGATTTTTAGAAATGTTCTTATGTCATTTAAATCTCTAAATGTCTGAATGTAACCTTAGTATTAAGATTATTGACTTTAAAGTTTGCATTGAAGTTAATGCTGCTTATTTCTTTACATAGTAAATACTCTTAAATACAACGCTTACGACTTCTTAATGTAGATTTCGTCTAAACAAATGCTGAATGTTTATTAAATGTCTGGCCCAAATGTAGAAATATTATACGTTTTTAAACGTTTTAATTGCATTGATTCAGTATGAACACTTTTTATTATATATTATTGAAATTAAACATCCATTTATTTTTATACACATATCCTCATATATAGCACAGTGAATCAGCTTAAAGTGTATGAGCTACTTTTCCATTTACCAAAGAATTATTTCACGTGAATACACATGCCATCTCGACTTCTTGTCACGTATTGCTATGTTTATATTTGTGTATGTATATATATTGATGCTTTGTCAATTGCTCTTTTTAGGGCTTTAGTGCAAATAAAAAGTTCTTCTTCTTCTTCTTCTTCTCCTCAACACAGCATGGGTAATTGTAACGGAAAGGAAACACTAATTGCCGAATTAGCAGAAAATGTTGGCGCTATCTATGATAATATGAAAGTCATCGTGCCGGCAACTAATGACCTTATTGACGTCATCAATTTAATCCTCCGTGATAATCTTTCACATGCGTCAATTACAGACCGGAAAACGATTCAAACCAACGCTGAACATATGGTGAATACAGTAAATGCCATAAACAACAGTATAAAAGAGAAAGCGACATGGATAGAAACACGTCTGCAATCCGATATGTTTAGAAAACTGTTGAATGTAACGATTTCATCCGAGAATACAACTTGGCCAAACACTACCAATGAATTGAATGCTTACATAAAGATAACAAGTCAATGCGTAGAAGACATGCAGACCAATACCAGAAAGTATGTTACAGACGTTGAAACAATGAAGCTTGAGTTACAAAATAAATAATAGCTTGGCCTTTTACATTGACATTGCACAAACATGCATTCTATCTTTCACGTCATGGGTAATGCAATGGAAGTAACTATTGAGATTTTTATTTGTAAACTCATTGTCTTCTCCTAGTATGTCAACTGTGTAACTTGAATATTTGTGGGCTTTCATTACAAAACAGGGTACCACAAAAGTCACATGTAATTTCCGCTGTAAAATTCATTTTGCATAATTATTAATATTTTTAAGAGTCATAAGTTATGACGCACTTGTGCTGTTAAACCTCGCATGTTTTTGCATTATAGCTTGATTGTTAATAAAACTACAATGTGAATAAATTTTTGTACTCGTGTGTTGCCTATATTTACGTGTGTTTTTAGTTAGATAATTACTTCTTAATAAGTAAATATTATTTCTACCTTTATTTACAAACAGTATTCAACAATGTAAACATAACACTAGAGTTAAGATTAGGGTGGAGTCACAAATGATCGGTCTCGTGAAAGTCATCTGGCATTTGAAAAGGGGGAAAAGAAACAGAAAACAAGGGGTAGGCTAAAATTGCAAGATTAAGAGCTGTAGAAACATTAACTGTTTTGCCTTTGTGAAAGAAAATGGAAAAATACTGTTAAGATTTAAAGTGTCTGTTAAGGGGAGTGATGGTCTAATTTTTAAGTTGTCTGCATCTCAAACCAGGGATCATGGTATCGTGTCTGACCTGATTCTCGAGCATTTTCCTTCATTTGACAACAATACCGGTTGGTTCAAGGAAGCAGAGTCGAAAGTGATCAATACGTATAATTTGCGAAAACTTGTTTCGCAATCGAGCTTCAGTAAATATGTGAAAACCAAGTATCTGTAACTTTCTACGTGTTTGAGTTGTTCATTATATTAAGAGACGTTAAGTTTTCTTATCAAAGAACTACCTCTATTTGGGTATAATTTGTGTTATCTTTTTATTCGCCAATAAAAAAACAGCCTACCAAGAAACAATATCATACATTTTATATTCATCTGACTTAATCATTTATGTTACAGTACAAAACTGCAATAAAATTAAGTCTCAGTGAACAGAACGTTTATAATTATATTACTAGTACAAAAAGTATTTGCTTGAAATCTTACAATCTTTGCCTAAAGCAAACCGTTACCGCATCGTAGATTACATAATGTATGGATTCTTTGAATGCTATAACGTCTTGAAAAGTATGGACATGGCAAATTGTGCCTGCCCTTATGGTCTCTTTCCGCTGTCGAGGGAAAACACACACATACACGCACCAACGCACTTACGCTCCCCTCCCCCCACACACATGGCGAATTGAAACAGTCAAGTTTTAAAGTATTTATTGCCTAAAAAACACATACACACGTACGTATTTAAACTACCGTTGCCTCAAAGCAGCTGCAAATCTTTTAATATTCAGAAATTTCATTTTTGAGGATTTGACTGTTTATAATACATAGCTTGTTACCTTTTTTATTCAATTATCAATCTTTTTATAGATATAATTTCTCATTTTTAAAGGAGTGAAGGGGTGGGTGGATGTGATTCTAAAAGGCGTCATCACACTGTTTTAAGAATGGTTTTAATCTACCACATTAGAAATTGAAATTATTTAATAATTAACTTATGAACTTTGAACATTTGAAACGCTAGCGGCAATTTTATTATCTTTATATGAACTACGATACACTACATGTTTATCAGATATTGCTTCTCGATTTACTCAATTTTTAAGCGTTTTTCGACATTCCCTTAAAGCTGCGAAATATCGCTAAAATACCATTTCAAATTTTAAAAGAAAAACAGAGGTTTGTGCAAAGGGAAATAACAAGATCAATCAGAATTCAATAATTAGAAACAGTTGTGTTTACTTTTCTACACCTTTATAAATATCTCAAGCTTGGAAATTACCATATTCATTTTGTTTTGATGCTCAAGCAGAAATTCCTAATTAACTATCGTTTTTGCTTTATTTCTGTATCGTGGTTTCATTAAACTATCTACATAGTGCTAAATTTCGTCAGAAATAATTATACAATCGTTATTAACAACATAAGTTCCATATTTATTTACAATTATTTCTGTACACTTTTCATTGGAACAGAGCCAGGCAAAGTTATTTATGTTGCTTTTTTGTAAATTACAGACAGAAATGTTTTGATTTTAATTTTGATTATATACAAATACAAATGTAATTAAGGGAGTGACGTTATATATCAAGCTGGTAACAGATTATTTGGTTTTGTAATGCATGAAGGAGGCCTCTTAGAAACCTCATTGTGCATTCTTGCTAATCTTTTTTTTTTGCCGGCGCCTTTTCAACGTTAAGATGTACTTATGATGATTGAAACAATAATGACGTTTGATGTTTGTTTTTGATGGTGTTTTTTTTGTTGTTGTTGTATTGCTGTTGGCTTTGTTGTTCTTAGTTTTTGTCATTGTTTTTTGTTCGTTACATTTTCAACTTATTTCACAGGTTTAAACATAACATAACATATTTTTTATTCAACTTAAAATTGTATACATACAATTTATAGTCACACAATTCAGATACTGTGTAAACAGCCATTGACCCCACGAATATATTTTGTCCGTATATAATTTTCTATTTTTTTTACATTAAGATAAGGTTTATTTCAGTGATAAAAAATGTCCTCAAACTGAACAGTTGTACTCCTTTTCTGTCTTTTTTCAATTATTTGTAATACGCATATTTTATCATTTGAAATAAAGATTTTTTTTTTAAATCATTTGTTATAAAGCATTTTTTATCTTTTGCAGTAAAGCATAGTCTATCATTTGTAATAAAGCACTTTTTATCATTTGTAATAAAGCACTTTTTATCATTTGTAATAAAGCATATTTTATCATTTGTAACTAAAGCATATTTTTCATTTGTAATTTAGCATTTTTATCGTTTTTTCAATTGTAATAAAGCATATTTTATGCTACAAACGCTCGGTTTTGTTAATTTAATTATCAATTTAAAGAAGCAGGAAAAAAATCAATCCTTTGGAATTAATTTGTTTTGTCCAAACATTCTATAGCATTTGCGAAGTGCGTGTTCATCTTTTAATCAAAATGGGGGGCAATGAAACTGGTTTATTGAAGAATGCATACATTAAATGTTATAATTATACTGCTGATTTAACTCTCTTTATATTTTATAATTATAAAGATTAATAATGAAATACACTTCTTGACTCGTAGCCAATATCAGTTATTTAATATCATCAGCGTATGTACCTTTTCTTACGTCATATTTTATCATACACATGTATCTCAATCACATTATAATTTTGAAATTCTCATTTCGTTATCAAGAAAAGAAATCGAGTGGTAGATAAAACAGACACACAAAAAAAACCATCAATATGCATTATGCATTTACAGGTCATACGTGGTCACACGGGGGAATTGTAAAACAGGATAAAGAGAAAAAGTCATCATTTTAATATATTATCATGGTAAACTCGGCCGCTACGCTTCTTTTGTTGTTGTAAATGTTTTTTTTTTGCCTGTTAAAAGTTATGTTTTTATATGATATTAAATATTTTGAACCTCAAGTTACGCAGCATTGATCATGATTATTAACGTCTTGTAAATCTTTGTTCAGGTCGTGAAATGTCTGTCCTACGCAAGTTTCTGCATGGGCGAGGAAATCATGTCAGGTTAGCATAGCAAAAGAACGATCAGAAAAAAAATTCAATTACGCATATAATTATTTTAGCCTTATCGTTTTATTGAAAGTTTAAGTAAAAATAGGCAGTTTTATAATTAAAAAAAAACACTGTTAAATATATTTTCCTTTTAGGGGGTTAATATATGAGTATTTCATTGTTATTCATTACAAGTTGCTGATACATGTATATTGGTATATCAATAATTAAACAAATGTTAGGAGAGCATAGTGTAAGGAAACGTAACTACGAAAGACCTGTGGGGACATTAAAACTTCATTATTTCCAGATTTCATCTTCATTAATTCCCGATTTCAACTCCACAAATTCACGACTCAACTTCGTGAATTAACGATTTCAATTTCTCATTAATAACAGCTTTATGTGTTTCCAATCAATCAATCAATCAATCAATCAATCAATCAATCAACACTAATAATGTTTTATATGATACTTCGTTCGTTCGTTCGTTCGTTGGTGTGTTCGTTCATTACTTTTTTCCTGTTTGTTGTTGCTGCTACACGTATTGTTTTAATATCATTTTCTGTTGAAATAAACAGAAACTATTTCTAGATATAAATTCTCATTTTGCTACTTTTCTACACTTCATGACAATTTTTATTGTAAGATGCTTTAAACAGCAGAAAGTGCTTCTCGAAGATCTGAGAAACAATATTTAAGTAAATACAACCTGCTTGCTGTTACAATTAACATGTTTTCACGTAATAAAATGGAAAACAAGGCATATGACGAAATTCAATAAGTTGGAATTTAAGATGACACAAACTTAATATATGGACGATGTAGCCGGCATAAAAATGTACTTAGTGAATATAACAATAAAACTATTCAAATGTTTTGCTTAGATCTTTAACAGTGATCGACTTTCTATTGAGTTAATACATATTGCAGGTACTTATTCATTTACGATATATATTTTAATTAATGCAAACACACAGTAATGTTGTCAGTAACCAAAATGTTACATGCTACATGCCAAGCTATTTAATATATGCTCTTTGCATTGTACCTTTGGATTATGTCTTCCCATATACGCCTTGAATGTCGCATTTTCATATTGATCTTGTTTTCATATATCATAGAGTAAGGGTATGCAAAGTTCGACTTTTGGGAAATAATTTATGTAACATTTATAGAGATCAACAAGAAGAACTACAACTACAACTACACAACAAGTATCCCACAGGATCTGCGCATAATAGTTTCGGATGGTCATGAAACAATTATTAAAGCTTGTTTCATAAACAAATGAAATACCCGGGGCGATTATACTTTTACAAAAGGTAGATGATTCAAAGCAATTTTGTTCAAGCTCACTATTCAATGTTGCATGACAAATATACGAACACATCAGACCAATGAAAATACTCCGTACAAAAAAGGCGATTCATTTGCTGCACTAGTTACTTTAAGTATTTGGCATATCGGGGGGAAAATCGTTATATTTTCATATGATAATTTGATTGGACAGTGAAATAATAATTTGATTTTATCTTATATATATTTTGAATGCTCAATACAAAAACATATCCATTCATTTCGAAAAAAAATGCCACTCAGTCTTGATTTTTCACAAACAAAAACAACGGTCACATCTTTGTTGTTTTTCGTTTGCGGTGACTTTGAGATTTAAGATCTACTTGGTTCTTAAAATCAATGAAATATCATTGCCATTTAGAGTTTACAATTTCCTTCCATTTGGAGGCAACATATTGGAGTCGTAAATGAAAACAAAGCTAAATTGATAAGATTCAACTATAATTGATATCATTTTTATTTGTTTATATATCACATGTGTAGATAAATATTAAATGTATATTGTATTGTATATTGCTGTTTTCATATATAAATTTTATAGTTGAAAGATTCTGTTCTATTTTCGAGTTACCGTCACGCTCCATTAATATATTGTTTTATTTCGATAAAATGAGATAAATGTAACCACATTGAAATGTAATATAAATGCGACGCTGTTACAAATGAAATGAATGTTGTTAAACCAGTTAAAATGAAAAGAAAAATGAAATATTTATTTCGCCTCAGCTAGAAGTTGAAAATATAGCTCTATTACAGTATCTGTGCTTATTACCGGCATACATGAATAAAAAATTGATATATATTTCCATTTGTATATCATATACAGTTTATTTTGGCTTTGGCTTCAGCATCTCAATTTTCACCTTGATTTCCTCGACCTTTGCAATGTATGGTCCTGTCATTTTTTGCATGCTTGCTACACATTTATCGGTTTTGTCAATCCGCATTCAGCTCGTCCCTTTCGATTGCCCCAATAATTGCCTCAGCGATCGCATCAATACCAAGAAATAAGACTCCGACAACAATAGCTGAAAACGCAGCCGTTATTGTCTCACCAACTACCTCTACAACATTTTCTAAGAAATCCATTTCAGCTATTGTTGAACAAGAAAAAATCCGACAATGCCACCAATCGGTCCGAGGCTTTCTGCAACTTCTTCTGCGACTTTGATTTTTTCTTCAAATGAAACAGATACGTCCATAAGTATTTTGAATATCTTCGGATCCAGTTTGGTTTTTATCTCTTTAACCTTTTGTTTGACAAACTTGTTGATGGCATCAGCACAGTCTGCAATGCTCTGAGCGTTAGCTCTTACCGTCGCTTTTGTGTCAATAGACACGCGTTTAAGGTTCCCTTTTAAATGCGTGTTAATGATGTCGACAAGATCATTTGTGGCCGTCACATCTATAGTCAGATTATTGTAGAGTGCCCCTAAGTTTTGTTGTAATTTAGCCCTTCTTTCGGGGTTTCCGGGATAAAATAAATCTTCGAATACACCCATTGTTTATCTCTGAAAAAAATAAACAAACAATGTATAAGTGTTTGAGAGAAAAAAAAATGCTGATGAGAAATCAGCTGTGCAGATTTAATTCGGAAAGAAGTGTGTTGTCTGGGCACTGACAGAATGAGACTATTCGATGAATTTAAAAAAAAAAATGAAATATAGGTTGCACATTTTTTTATGGCAACCTCCTTTTTAAATACTAAATAAAACAAAATCGAAGTTGTTATTATTGAACGCCATTCATAAGGTAAAGGTAATATTATACATGGTGGTAAATTTCATCTGGCATGGTAATTGCCAGATGATGCTTGTGCTTTTATATCTTGTAATTCAATCGCATTTAATAAATGAACTGCGTAAAAATGACGCCTCATTTTTAATGGATCTGTGTGTCTATGACATGTATGATGACGTCATTTGACAGCTATAAAAGCAGTTATTAATTATTATAAGGAAATAGGTAAGGACTTAATATATAAATTTCCATTAAAATTATTATTTATTACTTTAGTGTCCATAAGAGACAGAGTAACACACACAAATGCTTTAAAAATGATTTTAAATTGCCCGAGTTACGTGAAATGACCATGAAGTCCGAAAAATAGATAAATACAGAATCCCTAAAGAAAGCCCAACACGGCAAAATTGAAAATGTTGCAGGCTCGGTTTGATTGACCCTGTTCATGGACGGTATTGGAAAGTGCAAGTTACCGTCCACGCCCCCTAGCACCGGCTTAAGCAGAATTCAACATTTAAACATGAAATAGTAAAATTTTGAATTTAGAAACCTCCGCAGATGTGTTCATAAGGCGGTTATCATGGAACCTTCAATGTGACACAGTAGTGTCGTTCCATGAAACGCGGCGTATGGTCCCCAAGTAATAAAAAGCGTGTGCCCTAAACGAGAAAACAATGGGCGGAACTAAATAAAATGGAATTTTGAAAGGGGATCAGAGGTTATGAAGCCTGCGTATCACAGATAACACGTCAAAAGACAAATTTAAAAAGCAGGCAACATATCCTAAGGGTGATTCAACATTATTCAAGTAGGAATATTGGAACCACTCAACTAGAAAATGCCGAAAAATTGAAACTAAAAATACCACAAACACAACAATAATGTCGTGCTGAACGATTTTCAACGAAGCCTTGACAAAACATTATAGCCATAATGATACGAATTGTAATAAGGCTGGTTAGAGTTATCAAAATCTTACAAAATTATTTCTACTTCTTTTGTATTATCAACAATATCATTATCATTAGTATCATTATTATCATTATTATAATAATTATTATTATTATTATTATTATTATTTACACTGATATCAACAATACAAAAAAATATTTATATACTGATATGAACAATACAAAGACAGTTAAAGTATTGAACCTTAATTAGAAAAGAGATGCTAACAACACATACAATTCTTTATATCAGGAATGTTATATATGTTATGATAAAATAAAAGAAAAATAAAAGGAGCAAAGTAGAAATCGATCAACCTTTGAAGAACTGGAGAAATCACTGAAGTATTCCAAGTTTTCGAAAACTATTTGTAACTATATGTTTTAAACAACTCTATATAGGGAGAAAATTTATCGCCTTAATAGGCCGGTCATGGTTATAATTTCAAAATGTGATCGCTATCCAATTTCTGCTTAAAACATTTTTTTCCAAGCTTTAAATAGGTTTATCCGGTTTGACAAATTGCCTTGTCATTTGAGTATATAATTATATAATAAACAAAAGCTGTCGGTAGGACAGCAACGCTCGACTATTGTTGGTGCTTGATCGTAAAAAAAGCCTTGATTAAAAGGTAAAATTTTCTCAGTAAAGAAAAAGGCAAAATTTTTCTTCAAATCCATGTTACAGTTAAAGGCATTGGGGAGAGTCCTTATTTTATAATTTCAAAGAAGAGTATAAAATTTCAACATGTTTCAAAGCCTTATGTCAATGAACTTTGAAGTATTACAAAACTTTCACGTAAATTCTAAGTCGAAAAAGGGGCATAATTCTGTCAAAATGCTTGATAGAGTTACCTCCTCCTGTTTACAGGTAAGGGTCATGATGGTCAACAAGTACATGCAAAGTTTTAAGGCCATATGTCAATGGACTATGAAAACATTTGAGGTATTACTAAAACTGTAACGTAAATTCTAAGTCGAAAAAGGGGCATACTTCTGTCAAAATGCTTGATAGAGTTACCTCCTCCTGTTTACAAATTTGAGTCATTATGGTTAACAAGTGTGCAAAGTTTCAAAGCCAAATGTCAATGGACTTTGAAAATATTTGAGGTATTACAAAAACTTTAACGTAAATTCTTAGTCGAAAAAGGGGCATAATTATGTCAAAATGCTTGATAGAGTTATCTTCTCCTGTCTACAAGTTGGGGTCATGATGGTGAACAAGTGTGCAAAGTTTCAAAGCCATATGTCAATGGGCTTTGAAAATATTCAAGGTATTACAAAAAAATTAACATAAGTGGTTATGCTGACGCCGACGCTCGGGTAACTACAATAGCTCTACTTATTCTTATCGAAACGTCGAGCTAAAAACGGTGAGTTCAAATGACTTTCAAATATGAATAAAAGATAATGAAGTGTATTTGCCTACATTATGCTAATTCTGTTTTTGTTTGGTTTTCCGTTAGGTGTTTCACCGGTGATCCCGTGAGGCTGAGTATTGTTAATTGTCAATTGTCAAAGCATCTGCCAGAGAGTCAGTTTTCTTTGGGGGTTTTTATAGATGCTTTCATGAATTATCTCAAAATGGCGGTAAAGGGAGGTAATTCATGAAAGAATCTATAAAAAAAAACAGAAAAAAGAACGTATTCTCTAGAAGATGCTTTGGCTTGCTTTTACGCTATTTTCACTAAATATCATAAGGAAAAAAACTATAGGCTTATTGTGTGCATGCAGACATCTCATAATGTAGTGATAGACTTTCGCGATTAGGACTATGGCAAAACACGTGCTCAAAACTATAGATGATAAATTATTGAACTATTTTCAACAAGTATTTTATTTTTATTTGTCTTATGTACAATGGTAGTTATTCTTAATTTTTCTACCCAGAAAATAAAATTCCAAAAGCGAGAATTAACTCTTTTTTTTCTCTTTACCTCAATTCTTCTTTGACAATATTTTGCAATATACATTTTCAAAAATCAAAATAAGCATGTTTTTTAGGCATTGTGCTTTCAAATAATGTGAAACTATCGTCTTCATTCATGACTGAATATGTCATTTGACTAAGCAATTACTTAAAAATTGTAAAAACAAACTTTAAAGCTTACGTAAATTTTGATGCTATCTACTTTACGTAGAATTGATATTCGTAATGAAAGTGAATCCGGTTTCGCTAAAGTGGTTTTTGTTATTGACAATATCATACGTTTTGACAAAAGTGAACCTTTAATAATTTCGGTGTAATTTCACATTCGCTCAAGCTTGAAACGTGTCGGTATTTTCACTTAAGGTAATATACCAACTATCAGCTCATAATTACTTCTTTTATACAAATAAATGCAGAGAAGTGTCAAACTTTCACATTCTTAGCTTTGCTATCTGTATTAATATCGACCTGTGCATTATGCATACAATATTTGTCAGGATGATTTCTTTTGTGATATTAAACTTTATGTTTTGCACCACACAGACTATAACCATGCATCTCCTTTTTATTAGCGATGTGTCCTACATCATGCATATTTAATACATGTAGTTAGAAAAAATGAGCAAGAAGCCACGTGTAGTCCGTATGAATTCCGTACATTTCGATGCTTTTGGTTAATTAAGAAAGTTTCGTGTTAATATGTACGTTAATTTTTCTTTCAGAAGAAAATGAAAGTTTACATTGGAAAATTAGCAAATACTTTGAATAGTAATACATTTTTCACGTAAGTCTAACTTTAGCCAACAAACAAATAACCTTAAATTTAATATGTGCATCATTTAATGCACAAGATCGTGAGATATTTATGTTAAATGTTTTAAAATAGTAACCGAAAGAGCCTTACTTGGTTAAAATCAGTTAATTGCATATACTTCGATAGAATTTAACCTATACATTCCTAAAAATTAAAAAGCATTTTCTACGGCTTGGATCAACATGAATGATAAATCTTGTGAAAAAAACTTTTAACAGAAAGACCTGAGCGGTGGATGTTTTCAAAGAATTAAATCGATTTTCATAACAAACTGGCAGTTACTTAATAATAAAAAGAAACTCGTCATGTAACTTAAGTAAGAGCATTTTTTGTCTCTTTTGTTGAATACATGGAAGACGTCAAATTCTCTGAATAAATCAATTTTTTTACTTGACACAAGTAAGTGGTTTTAAAATTATGTATGTAACTATTAAAGGGACTCCACTGAGGTTTTTTGACATGACGGGACTGGAAATAATTCTTTGAGATTATTACTCCGTTTGATGAAGATCTACACTAATTACTTATGTGCAAAATTTCAGATCATTAGCTTGCTCCGTTTTTTCAGGATAATTATTATAATTATAGTGAAAAATGTCCAAAAATTGAAAAGCGTTTAAACGCTTTTCACTCACATAGGACTGAAAATAGCACAACATACAATTGTCAAATTGAATGTATTTCTTGTATATTTCTTAGTTATATATTATTTATATCGCTGTTTTAAGTGCTCATGTTGATCTATGTGAAAAATTAAACTTTTAAATTTTAGCCTTAAAAACCTCAGTTGAGTTCCTTTAACTTAAGTCATACACCATGAATCACATTAGATTTGAAAGATAAAAAGATTTAGCAGTTCATGTGACTTTTTGTCACCAGCCTATCAATTAGATGAGTGATTCCAAAATATCCAGCTTAATAAATCAATCAACCTTGAAATTTTGAATGGAATTTTTCAAAGTTCTTTATTTTCATTTGATAATTAGAACAACTTTTTGATTACCAGTACAGGTAAGAGGAATATTTTTTATTTATCGATTTTTTACATTCAGATAATGTCAATGC